CCAGACGACATCCTTTTCAAAATAAGAGCACCTGCTGACGCGCCGCCGAACGGTACCGGGGTCGACCCTCCAGACGGGCTTTGAAATGTTGTGACCGCTGCACCGACAGCTCCAGCGTACACGCGAGGTTCTTGGACCTGGCATTTCCTGATCTACCTGGGAGACCCCCCACTGGGTACGTACACGGCAAAATAGCAGCTCATGTCATCACTTTATAAGCCTCGTGATATCTAGTCATAACAAAGACTACCAGATTCAATTACGTCATCCTAAAGAGTCTGAACCAACCACACACACACACACACACACACGCACACGCACACACACACGCACCAACACAACATCCGAATCCATTTTCATCCATCACAGAGTTAGTCCTGGTAGATTGTTTAGAATTTATAATCAAGAAATTAAAGATTCTCAAACGATCCCATCTCTCTCTCTTTCCTTGTCTCAAAGTCAATACAGAGTGTTTAATTAAACTCCCTGATGATAAAAACAACATATTCTTCTGTTTATAAAAAGTGAACTACCTACAGTGTATTAAAATACAACTCTAGATAGTTACATCACTTCAATTCCGTTACACCCTCTTGCAATTTAACCTTCCCCTCACCCCCATCCTAACCTTAACCAGCTTGCGCATGCAAAGCTCTGATTGTTGACGCGCTCCAGACATCTGCGTCCTGAGCACGGCCACAGTAACATTATCAAATCAGGTGTCGCCACCTCAAAAACTAATTTAATACGCGATCGTTCATGTCGGCTCATTTCCTTTTATGTTTTCTGTCTTTTATTTGTGCCTGATGCGTTTCGCTGCTGTGGAGCGGGGCGCATCACCTTGTCCTCCGGTGACGCACCTTATCGGTGCGGCCGCCAAGCAGCGAGCACTCCGCTGTTTTTGCGGTCGGTAGATCTTTTAGAACTGCAGTTCAAAGGTAACTCATGAGGTGAATATATATGAACCCAGGTAGCAGTTTTTCTTCAGGATTGAGAGGAGATGCAGGAAGATAATAAACAGGCAGGACAGAAAAATAGTCAAATAAAAACAAGTTAGTTTTTGTACCTGCTGGTTGCAACAAACAGACACCATTGAAGGTAATCAGAAGTGAGGAACAGAAAATGAAATAATTATTTTAATGTTTAGAGCAGCAGGAACTCCGAGAGGCTGCAGGCACATCAGTGAGTTTGCGGCCGCTGCGCGGGGGGGGGGGGGGGGGGGGGGGGGCGCTGAAGCAGAAACTACCATTGTTAAAAGAAATGTGTTTAACTTTGAAAATGTGGGCGCAATTTTAATTGTCAAAAACTCCAGCAAACCATTAGTTCATTTTGCTCAAATAGAAATTGAGGCCTGCCTCTAATTCTGGTCCTCCTTCCAATAAAGGCCTGGAGCTTGATGAGCTTGAGTCAAATACAGGCCCGGGCCTGTATTAGAGGATTTGCTGTATTTGTCCCTATCCCCAAGTTTGGCCTCTTATTCATTTAATTTTCTTTCAGTCTTAAATTAAACAAACAACACATGAAATATATATATATAAAACAACATATGGAAAACAGAGAATGTGTAAATTAGCAGATTCACCAGTTTTGGAGAAAAAAAGAAAAACCAAACAAACCAGAAACCAGCGAAAAAGAAGCACAACAGCATAACCAGCCGCCCTGTTTTCTTCATTCTTATACTTATTTAAAATTAGTTTTTAATATTTTACTTTAAACTGGTTTATGTTTTTACTTTCTTTCATCTCTTCTGTTAGACTGTTCCATAATGTAACTCCTGCAATTGCGTTGGACATCGTTTTTAAAGCTGTTCTAGCACTTTGTATTTTTAACTTCACTTTCCCTCTTAAGTTATACCCACCTCCTCTTTCTTTGAACAATAAACAGATTTCTTTTGGAAGCAATTCATTTCTTACTTTATACATTATTGGTGCTGTTTTGAGCTTCACCAAGTCTTGGAATTCGATATCTTGCATTTCGACACAGAGTGCATTTGTATGGTCCCTGTACCCCACATTATTTATTATTCTAATGACCTTTTTCTGTATTATATTTATCGTCTGTATGTTACTTTTGTATGTTTCCCCAGACCTCTACACAGTAACTCATATATGGCAGTAGTAAAGCACAGTATAATATGTGCAGGGCTTTCTGATCCAACATCTTTGCTTCCCCAGGATGGCAACGACCCGTGCCAATTTCCCCCAACATAAGTAATGTGTGGCTTCCAACCGAGCTTACGGTCAATGATCACACCAAGAAATTTAATTTCATTTACTCTTCCTAAATATACATTATCCACACAAATTTCTATTTTGATGTTTTTCTTTTGGTTACCAAATAACATAAATCTGGTTTTATCTTCCTGCGTGATCAACTCCAACAAGACCTGTGGCAATTCCACACCTGAACACAGTACCGTATTTTCCGGACTATAAGCCGCTACTTTTTCCCACACTTTGAACCATGCAGCTTATAAGGAGGTGCGGCTTTAGTCAACCAGAAAGGATGGATGCTGGAAAGTCTAATGAAGGAATGGTTAAAGGAGCGCTACGGAAAGCGCCCAGGAGGATTTTTATCACAGTAAAACGGCGCTGCTTGTGTGTGCCATCACAGGGTAGAGAAGATACAGAATTCTGCAATAAACTAAAAGAAATTAATAAGATATGTTCAAAAATATACATTTAATACATATTCCATGGACACTGGATTCACACTCAAGACAGGGAAAGCACAACAAATGACATCAGTATAAGAGCAAACACATCTACCCAAGGTTAGCAACACATACCGTAGATCAGAAAATTAAAAGTTAATTATTTTATTCAGGAATATTTGAAGTTTCTCATCACTGTTTATCAGCATTATCATTATTGGTATTATTATTATTCATAAAGTCAAATCTGCCTCCAAATATTTATTTCTGACAAGAAATTTCGTTGTTTACATATTTCTCAACAACAGACTATAGTTTCAAAAATCTTATTGACTTTCATTTCACCTCTGGTGTATAAAACGTACATTTAACCAAAGAATTAGCACTAGAGGAGTTACCTACCAGTCTCCTCTGCACGGTCGGTGTCTCCCTCCTTCTCCGGCACGATGCCACGCACGCTTGCCGGTCCGAGTACTGCTGAGATTGTAAAGGTGAGCGGTGGGGGATCAGAGGTGCCACACTTTGGCGGTGGCAAAACATCTTTTTTTTGCCTCCACATTCAGGTCGGACCATTTTTTTACATCCGCCACAGATCTCTCTGAAGAACTCAGCATTGACGGCTTCAGCAACGCTGTGCCACTCCGTGGATTTTCTCTTATTTGTTTTGCAAAAGCACTTCCTTTCATTTCTCCACCTCACCCACAAGTACCTCAATTTCTGCTTCTGTGAAATACCGCTTCCTTGATCTGCGGTCGACATTGTTAATGGCGGAGCGCTGCAACAGCCGGCTTATGTATATGCATGAGATCCACAAGGCACTTTGCATTGAACATTTATGGCAGAAAGTGGGCATGTTGAGGGCGGGACGTGATCCAGAAACACTTGAGAACCTTTCTAGATAGTTTCTGATTTATAAAGCGGAGATTGCTTGCAGCTGTGCGTACTCCATGTTTGGTAGGTCACAAACCTGCTTGGCGTGAGTACATTCGTTTGCTGAGCTTAAGTACGGTTTTAGTAAGGATTCTATGCCATGTTTTATAAATGAGAGAGGGGCCTCATTTATCAAGCTTGCTTACTCACAAAACGGGGTCGGAAAACTGCGTGAGCAACTTTCCACGCAAACTTTGGGACTTATGAAAGAAAACCTGGCGGAAAAATGTGCGCAACGTTAAGGTAAGGTACCTACCTACTGCTCCAGATTGGTGTTTGGTGGGGTGTAAAATTGTGGTTGTACATGAGTTTCCTGCATATAAGAGCTTGTTTAAGAATGGGCGTCAACTTCATTGGCAGTTTTTTCTATTTTAAAATCACATGTAAGGACAAACTCAATTCCTCCAATCATATCAAACACTGGAGACAAAAGCTGATACCGATAGCGTTAGCTTGTTTTTTCTGCCATGTGCTCATTTTAGCCTAATTACAATGCTGCAGTTTCACTACTAATAATGTTATTCTCTCTAATAAAATAAAACAAAACATAAAATGCATTTGCAATTTGCTGTAATTATGCGCAAATACCCTTTGCTGAATTTGTGTGCTTTCCGTGGTGAATCCATTCACTGAATATTTTCAATTGGTAAACTTTTCAAAATGACCAGTCAGAAAACTTGTATTTTTAATTGAGATACCGCAACTGGAACAGGAAATAGCGCCGCCTTCAGTTCCGGAAAGCAATGGCACCTTTATGGGGAGAAAAAAAAGTTTCAAAAGATCTGTGAGTGTGTATCTAAATTTGTGTGTGTAACTCTTGATTTGTAACTTGTGTTTACATTTTTGTGTGTAACTTCAGTTCTTACACATACAAATCATTGAATACACACACACAAATCACCTGGTAATCACGGACAAAACTACATTACACACAGACCAGTTCCTAAGTCCAAAAATACTTTTAAGACTCTTTTCACACCTGACCATGCACCTGACTGATTTGTGCGCACATGGTGTGTTTGAATGCTGGATGGAAGCTGGGAAATTTGAATTCCTTTGGGTTTAGTCTAAACTTGTGTTGACGGGACAAATATGGTTTTCTGTGGAAAAATAGAGTATCTCAGGATCCTGTAGTTATACGAGATAAACCTACATTTAAATTTAAATTTTCTAAAATTGTTTATTTAGACATGTGTTTGTGAGCCATGAGAACATAGTGAAAGGGTTATAACAAATGACTAATAAATGGCAGAGTGGTTCTCTGACTGGAAAAAAGCACGGTTCAAAAGGAGAGAAGGCACGAGATGTCTCCTTTTGAACCTTTTCCATATATGGTCGTACCCTGTGCCCACTCCCCGCCCCGTGCTACAAGCTGCAGCGTAGACCTCCTTCTCTGTGAGCTTGGCGGTGTTCTCGACTTTACGGCAGTCTTTGTGGTTTACGACAAAACCGCCATTTTGTGTAGTTGAGAGACGGCTAACTAAGACATTTACACGAGACACGTTGGAGCTTTGAACCTTTAAAATTAAACCGCTGCTCGGACCCTTTAGAAGCACATCTTGCTTTGGAGAACTGCCCACTCGGCATCACCTCAGGTCCATGGTTTGATTTCGGTCGAACACCGGAGGAGAGAAGAAGGTAAGACGTAGCGAAGCTCGTGTTAGCATTGTTAGCTTAGGCTAAGACGAAGCGCTTCATAAAGTAAACGAAGAAAGGCAACAGTGCAAGTGAGAACGGACGTTTTTATAACTACAGCTCTACTATCAGTAGTTTTCATCATCGGGTCTAAGTTAGTTATGAGCGGATTTAACCAGGTGAAGATGAACCACAGTCATCAGAGTGTCGCTAGCTGAGTACCCGCCGCCCCTGCTCTGCGGTCGGATTGTGTAACAATCACACTCTGTCGTGTTTCAGTGAAAGATGACACAGTTTCTACCGCCGAACTTGCTGGCCCTGTTCGCACCACGGGACCCGATACCCTTCCTGCCGCAGCTGGAGAAGTTGCCCCATGAGAAGCATCACAACCAACCGTACTGCGGCATCGCTCCGTTCATCCGACACTTTGAGGTGAAACGCGCTCTAGTCGGTTTTCCTCTTCCTACGCTCGTCTCTGATGTGCCTCCTAAATGTTTGTGTTCTGGGATCAGGACCCAAGAGATGCCCCCCCACCGACCAGAGCAGAGACCCGGGAGGAGCGCCTGGAGAGGAAGGTGAGACCATCACTAGATTAGTGCAGGTATAATTAAAAGAGCAAATTGCAGGTAAAATTTGTTTTCTAATTCATGTAAAATGCTGTCCAAAAATACTAGCCGAAATGCTTATTGTGGATATTTCGTTTATGAACACACAACGGCACAGTTTTAGGAGTAAAAAGTGACTTTTCTCAGCAAAGCTTCTAAAAACGCTCCTTTTTTACCTGTCACGTAACTAAAGCCTCAGCTCAGTGGAGCAGGGTCCAGCCAGCCGCGGGCGTTTCTACTTGGGCTACAGAAAAACGCCTTTATGGGGGTTACTGTAGCTTCTCACCAACCAATCGGAATGGGCATCAAAATACGTAATTTCCCCTGTTAGACGTGTCAAAATAAAAGTCTAAACTAATTGATCGTGTGGCACCGCCACGGCAAAATAAAAGTCCCCACACCTCTCCTAATGTCTGAAAGAAGCTCCTTTACAAAGGGAGAAACGCTCCCGGTGACTTTCTACATCTGCGACAGAGACGGAGCAGCGCATTTGACCCCGGAAGTTGTTGTCCGTTGCCGGGAGACTAAGGCGGGCAAAACAGGAAAGGAATCTAGTAGCGGACGGACATTGTTCCGGGTCTTCGGTATTTGGGGGATGCTAGTGAAGGCGGAGAAGAGGGCGAACTAAAGGAAAAACAGGCAGATTCCTCCTCTCTTGACAAACTCCTGGGGATGCAACAAGTGGGCGCGGTGCGTCGACTACCGGATCTGACGTCGGCGAATTTTTAGAATCGAGCCGTCGACGCTTCGCTACAGCTCTAGTAATTACCCAACTTGTTCTTTCTGTTTCTGATCTTTATTCGGGTTACTGTTGGCCCACACCTTAACTCCAGGAAAATCAACGTTAACAATCTCCTCTCTTTCTAAACAACCAAACCGAAACTCTCCACACAATCGGCAGAGAACACCCCCTCCAACACAAAAGTCCAACCATAACAAATCGTAACCCGTTGGTACTACAATGCAAAGCCAGAGAACAGATAGATGAGCAGAGAAAATCTCTTATTTTGGAATATCTGAGGTGAAGTAACATTTCAGGAGCGAATACGACGAAGAGGGTGTTCCTGTTTTGTAGGGATGTTCTCGTTTACAAACCACAATGCCCCTTTTAGCAGCTGGCCCGATGATGTTGGCTCAGTGTGTGTTTACTATGGTTGGTTGTGTTCATGTTGATAAACTAGAGTGTGTGAGAGTAGAGCTGCACCAACTCCAGCCTGTCTGGACATCGATTCCCCGGGTTTCCAGATAAGAGACACAACGCCTCTATCTTCGTGCCTGAGGGCGTTTCTGTAGCCCGCACCGGTCGGTACCGAGTCAGGGAAGTCCACGCTGGGCTCCGGAGACCCGTGGCGAGATTTAAAAAAATTAAATGCAAGTTTTTGGAAGTCAGTTCTTCGTCAGAACCGATCACCAGAAGCGACGCGTGGCTGAGTCGAGCTGCCAAGCGTTAGCAGCGCGCTGCCGGTTACCGGCGGTTCTTACGGCTCGTTTTCTTTCACTCACCTAAGTTTTATTTCATGTTTTACTTTTAATTCACACTGAAAACACAGCTGTAGGGGTTTGAAACGCTAAAGAGAAGCCTCTCCTTTTACTCAGACGTAAATACTCCCAGTGTTTTGGATTGGGGTCCTTCACCGGCTTCCAGCAGCAGCGGGCTGCCCGCGGAGGTGCCTGGCTTTAAATCGGCTCTACTAAAGAGACTTATCGGCCGATGATGAAAAAATGCAAAATATCGGCCTGATAAATCGGTCGACCCCTAGTTAGCACACAAGTTTAACCGTTAACTCACAAGACATGGGAATTGCTTTGCAACACTCCCAGGAGACGGAAAAGTCAGAGAGCGAAACGTCTCTTTCCGTGCGTTCGCGTCTCCCACCTGGAGCTGGCGCACAAGTATAACTTGTTACCTGAAACAACTGAGATATAACTGTCACTGAAACACACACGGTAATAGTTATTTAGGTTCATTAACCTGGGCTTTTTCAGATGTCTTCTGTCAACGTGCAAACACAGAAATGTGAACATTACCCCCAGGAGCCAGCGACCTGTGAGGCTTCTCACTGCTAGGTGCTCTGCTCTTTTCAGCTGAGTTTACGATGACAAACAAAACACTCAGGTCCTAACGCTCTGTGTGAACATCGGTGCAGCAGAATGCCTGATGACCCACCTTTCTGTCTTAAACACAGCGCCGCTACTCAAACATGTAATTAGGTGAAGCCCTCGTTTCTATATTTGACACCCATCAGATCATCATTCAGAAAACGCATCAGCGGCAGGTCTGGATCATGTCACGCGTCCTTTTGTTTTCCTGTTGTGACTCAAGAGTTTTATGTCCTGTTTTTCAGAGGCGGGAAAAGATCGAGAGACGCCAGACGGTTTTGGAGACAGAACTGAAGCTTTGTGAGTGGGACATCAGATGTGTGCTGTGGTGCAAGGGTTTATGTTGACGCTATGTTGTATGTGTGATTTCAGGGGACCCCCATAATGACCCAAATGCACAAGGGGATGCGTTCAAGACGCTGTTTGTTGCCCGAGTGGTTAGTATGAAACCTGTCCTTGGTGTTAACTCTAGAACGAGTGTGTCACCGCTGCTAATGCTGGGTGTAACCCCGTCTCTCCTCCAGAACTATGACACTACGGAGTCCAAGCTTCGTCGTGAGTTTGAAGTCTACGGTCCCATCAAACGAGTGAGTTCATGGCTCATCTGCAGAATGCATTTGCATAGGGATGCACCCATGTGAAAATGTGGGCTGATTTTAATATGATGTTGCGTCCCATAAGTGATATTTACCAGTGTTTTATTAAAAAGGGTTTTTTAAAGAAAGATTGCACCTCATAGAAAACGTACTGTCATTTGTCAGGTGCACCTGAATGTAGCCTCGTCCAGAACAGAGCTATTAGATATTTATTAGGGTTTCATAAGTATATTACTGAGGTGGCCCTAGAGGGTGATGGGGTGGGAACCCTGTCTGGTCAAACGGCAGACCTCACCAGAAAGGTTTCTAACTGGGACAAATCTCATATCTTTGCTCTAATTTCCTTTAATAAATGTACATTTTTATTTTTTAATCATTTACAACTCAAACTTTCAACAGCTCCACCATTTGTTTAAATTTAAAGACCAGTGGAAATTTGATGTGCTTAAAAATTTATATTCAGTTCAGAAGTGATTTTATGACAGAGTCTTATGTTGCTTGTAATCTAAAAATAGGCAACAATCACTTTGTGCACAGTTGCGCGCGAGGGTCCTGCCTCTCGCCATTGCAGTGGGGCGATGCAAAGGGTTACAGGAGGAGCAGCGTTTGTGTGATTTTAGATGTTCTAGAAGATGAATTTCATTCCCTGTTTATAGTCCCGATGTATAACAATAGTCTCCGATTGTCCGTTTGAAAAGATTCAGAGTAAAAATCCTGATGTATTTTGGTCATTTAATGGCAAAATGTGAAGTTGGCTTTTTGATAAATACATATAGTGTTAAAACCTAGACAACAGGTACTTCATCCCGTTGTGTCTAATGATTTTGTAAGCGTATGTCCATTTCTTCTTTTGTAAATAGTGTCTTATGAGCCTTTATGGACTGGGCACGTGTTGTGCATGACACTTAAGTAAAATGTATTTATTCATTCATGTCCTCAGCTGTAAGTACCATAATCGTACATAAAAGGTGGGATGGTGTTGTTATGGGAACCGGGCTGACACCGCTCTTGGTGTTGGTCTGAATGGTTGAGCTAACCAATGTCTTCATGTTTCTGTCTCCCAGATTTATATAGTCTACAACAAGAAGACGGCAAAGCCCCGCGGCTATGCTTTCATTGAGTATGAGCATGAGCGGGACATGCACTGTGAGTACCAACCTCTCTGCAGCCAGCTCATTCTGTATGTCAGCACACTCATGGGGTCATCTCTGACAAAAGGGACTTTTTTCATTTAAATTTACTTTAAAAACTTTTTAGCTACAGTTGTTGGGTGGACCATCTGATGGGGCAGATGATGTCATACCATCCAAGTCAGCAGATGACAGTTTACAGGCGAACCGTTTGCATGAAGCCATAGTCTGGTGTGCGTGCGTGTTTGCTGGGCATGTCTGATGTGTTGGTTAGTTAAAACCTGGGTTTGTGGGAGGGTGAGGCAGAGTGATCTATCTGGGGAGCGTAATAACGGAGGTCTGAGTGTGTTTTATCTGTGAACCTGAACATGTTTGCTTGTCGAAGGGCACATTGTTAACTGAGAGGTGTTGTAGTTCTGTGGAAGAGGCGCTCTGCTGGTTGGACTGTGATGGTAAGCTCAAGGTCAGACTGGACACCAAACATTGATGGAGCCTTTTGCTCGACACTCGTTGAATCCCACTTTGTCATATGACTAGCTTTGTGAGGTCTGTCCATTTTTATTGCTAGTCTTCAATTCTGGTCATGGTGAGTCACGGTACAACTCATTTGGTAAGATGGTTCTTAGTTTTTATCCAGTTTTGGTCTAAAGTGAACCAACTGTTATCTAAAGCTGAGTTTATGCTTCTTGGTTGGGTCGGTGCAGAGCTTCTAGTGTGACTACCATAACAGTCTGTAGAGGAACCCACCTAATAGCAGTGGGTGTTTTATCCCGATAGCTCTCTGTGCCTTTCAAACAATGGGGCTCGTGATCAGTGTAAACAAACCGTGTAAACAAACGTGCGTCGCAGAGTTGGGAGAAGGGACGTTAAAATCTCAGAGGATGCAGGATACAGGAATATGTTAAAGACGTCGGAACCGCTATGTGGACAGAATCAGCGTTGTAAACTGTTTGGATTCATGGGTGTTTCTCAATGTCAATTGCTCGCGGACCGTGTCGCTGTCAGCGGAGAGTCGATGCGCTCGGAACGCTTCCCTTCCATGCGTCTGTGTGTGGGGATCTCTAGGCTTGGTGCGGTGCCTGAGCCTGTGTAGGGGAAACACTGGCTTCCGATAGAAAACAGACGGTGAAAGTCTAGGATTAGAAAATCCTGACAGATCTACGTCACATTGTCACTATCATTCATGGACTCACCATCTTGACTCACGACGGGAAAGGCTGTTGTTCGTTTAGCGTCCAGCAAACAGCAGAGATCGTGTCCGCTAGTAGAAGCTAACCATTAGCAACTCCACCACACAACAAAACTCCTCCAGGCTTGTTATTTTTATCTTGAGAGGCGCTACATAAAAGATTTGTTTTCTTTCTTTTTATTTGTGGAGGTTAAACATCAACGTTGCAAATCAGTAGTAGAGTGAATTTTTCTAAGCAAAACCTCTGAAAAGGAACAATAAATATTTCAGGAGTTCAAAACCTTTATACAATGTAATCATGCCCTTTATCAATAATTTAAATAATGTGTGTGTGATTTACATGTGTTAATACAGATGTGAAATCAATTCATGTAAAATAATGTGACTATTTCTCAGACTGCAATCGTATCACCAAAATATATCATTGTTGCAACCCTAGTTGTATCAGTGCGCCTGCATTTGCCTACCAGTATGTATGTGTGGCCTGTGTGTGTATGATGGGTAGGGCTGAAACAAATCATCGAATGGTTCGATTCATTAAATTCCTCAATTCATTATTTTTTACTGATTCAAACACTTTTTACTGGCGCACTATGTGCTGATCTTTGTAATATACAACTCTCTGATGACTTACTATTATTTTTATTCTGAGCTACTACAGCAGGTCTGAGATTGATTAAGTATTTTTGAATTTGATTTGAATTGAATTGAATTGATCTAGGTGCAGTGGAGGAGAATACAGGAACCAGCAGAAACAGAAGCCGTTGTAAAAGGCAGAAATGGTCCAAAGTTTGGGATCAAGAGTTAAACTACGGGAAGTTAGGCTAATTCTAAGCTAGCGCGTAGCACGCTCACAATCAAGTAAAGTTCAGAAAAATGTGATGGTTGTGAACAACTCTACAAGAAGAAGAAAGTTCCCTGCCATCCTGTTTGTGTGTGGATGTCTGCAGCTGCAGCAGTATGGAGCAGAACCCCTGCTGCAGCAGTATGGAGCAGAACCCCTGCTGCTGCAGCAGTATGGAGCAGAACCCCTGCTGCTGCAGCAGTATGGAGCAGAACCCCTGCTGCTGCAGCAGTATGGAGCAGAACCCCTGCTGCTGCAGCAGTATGGAGCAGAACCCCTGCTGCTGCAGCAGTATGGAGCAGAACCCCTGCTGCTGCTGCAGTATGGAGCAGAACCCCTGCTGCTGCTGCAGTATGGAGCAGAACCTCTGCAGCTGCTGCAGTATGGAGCAGAACCCCTGCAGCTGCTGCAGTATGGAGCAGAACCCCTGCTGCTGCAGCAGTATGGAGCAGAACCCCTGCTGCTGCTGCAGTATGGAGCAGAACCCCTGCAGCTGCTGCAGTATGGAGCAGAACCCCTGCAGCTGCAGCAGAATGGAGCAGAACCCCTGCAGCTGCTACCTGGAGTCAGGCATGTAATTCATAAACGTTTTTATATTTAAATACAACTAAACTGGATTATGTTGCCAGCCTGTACATAATAAAATACATATGCCTCCATTAGATTGTTACTAGTAGAAATCAAATGTTAGTAGCATTTCCATTAGCTTACATGGTCATTTCTACTGATCATGTGAATTTCCCTGGATATGTTTAGACAAGGATGAATGATATTAAACCAAACATTTTAATGGACTAGAAGTCAACTTTTGTTCCATAAATTATTTATTACCTATAAATGGGAAAGAGGAAATGGACAACACCAATTTACTACATGTTGTATAATTTTGTTGTTTTATTTTCATATTTTTAGCAGCAGATCATTCTCCTTTCACCTGAAACATTGTCAAATAGAATATTCGATGCAAATGAAGAAAAGAAACGAAGCGAACACCATCTGTAACTTACCAGAATGAAAATACTCCAGAAGGTGATATTTGGTCGCCCTACAGACTTGGTCTCCGTGGTACAGCCTCCAAGCAGGACAACGATGAAAAGTTGACCCTTTTTACATTGTTTTCCCTGGTGATCATTTGTGTCACCCCACAACACATCAACCATACCATAGTTGTGTAATATAACCAACCAAATGAATAATAGATTTAATGAAGCCAGAAGGACGACACTGAGCCAGCTGTTTGCAGTAGTAACAAGCAAGGACTCGTAGGCGGCCATGTTGGTGAAGTCAACATGATCACAAGCCCTTTTGATTGAAAAGTAAACCACCAGTCTAATAATGAATGGTAAACATGCATTTCTATGGTCAGTAGCATAGCTTTAAAATTCATTTATTAATAAAGTCCTATTTCACAACCTCACCATCAAAACCTGCCGTAGGCTGTTGATTTTCCAACGGACTCTGTAGGGCTCCGTTCTGTTAGTTGGGGGTGTAGGACGGCTTTCCCATCTATGAGATGACGAAGGCTTGTAAGTACCAGGTCACCTGCATCTGCTGTTATAGCTGATGCAGCTGTTCTTGCTGCTGTAACCAGAACGTATGAATGGATGTTACGTGACCCAAACAGCAGGTTAGACCTCTAGTCAGCCACAGTTTGGCAGCATTAGACCGGAGCTAAGACGCTACGCGTGTCTCCTCTACTCTTATAGAAACATGGCTTTGGTCTCGACCATAGCTGGCCCCTTACATGTGATGCTGGCTTGAGTGAGCGACTGGGTGAAATGAATACTTCTGATGAAAGCAAATTAACAACACTAGTAAAAGATAAACACAGCTGGAAACCCAGTTCAGCCTCTATTATAGTCTTTGTAAGAGTTTATTTTCACGTGTTCAACCACTTCTTAAAATACCGTTATCAGTTTTTTTTACTCAACTTGAAAAATGTTAACGTTGTTTCACCCCCACACCGAAGGGTCGAGACGATGGATCCGCCAAGGACGGGGTCAGTCAGTAGGTGTATGTTGGGTATCATGTCACACGTAGCCAGGTCTGTGGGTGAAGATGGACACACAGCCACCGTTAAGGCTCTGCACAGTCTCACGTAGAAGCTTAAGTTCACCTTTACAAAGATCAGGCATTTTTACAACATTAGTGCAACGAGCTCTTCAAAACCAGAGTTGCTGAGTCACGTTTGTGGTAACAGGTGAAGTGGTGGGGGGATGTGGGGCTAAACGCTATATTAACTGTATGTTGTTTTCATTGCCACTGCAGCCGCCAATCTGTGATGGCTTTTGGCCAAAGCTGGCTGGCAGATGATGATGGTTATGATACATCAACACCCTACTACCACAGCTCAGTATATGGTTGGTATAATGGGTTTGTATGATGGGTAAGATTCTTTTCCACCCTCCATCTCCTACATAGGGAAGTGGAGCTGCGTTCAATGGGTAAAGCGTCTTCCTGCAGGCCCTAAAGAGGTTTGGGTTTTGACTCCAACCTGGACTTTAGGCTTTGACCATTGAATGCTCCCTGTCCACTAGTCTTCTCAACATTGCCCAATGATTCTGCCCTTTGTGCTAAAGCCACCTTGGGTTTGGTAACAGAGGGGTTGGGTGTGTGGGGTCAGATGAGTGGCTAAATAAATAATTTAACGCAGCTATAAATCGTGCTCTCTTAGCTGCTGGAATTAGCAGATTGAGTGTTTCAACTTTTATTTTCCTCCTAAGAAGTATAAAGCTTGGTTTATGCTTGACGCATTCACTTTCCGCGTGGTGATGCGGCTCGCGGATGGAACGCGCTTCACAACTTGCAGCGTTTATGGTTCATGCGGCTTGTCTCTGCGGTGAGCCAATGTTCTCCCAAACTGTAGGGGGCAGCATGGAGCTCTACGGCATGCATCCAACACTACACCATAGTAGAAGTAGAAATTACTGTTTACAACATGGCATTCCAGCATTTTCACAGCGTCCTTGTCTTTTCCGACAGTGCGAGCTATTTCTCTCCAAGAATTATTAACAACATGTTGATCACGGTGATCTTTAAGAGCTGAATCATACAAATGTCTGTATTTATGAACCTCTGCCATACTAGTTCTTGCCAGTCCGCCATGTTTTTCCGCGTCTGACCGTCCGCATGGTTAGAAAATTTCCTAGGTGCGTGGTGCTGAAATTTTGGGCCGTGCGGAGGCGCGGTAGAGGGGCGTGGTTGCTAAAATGACGCAATTTTGCCGTGCAGACGCATCAAGCATGAACCAATCTTTAGTCTGTAGTGATGAAGAGCAGTAGAGGATACCATATCTGCTAGGATGTTGAGGGTTGTTGGTAAATACTTTTAAACACCTTCAGAAGTGGAAGATGAACTTCAGCGTGCTGCTGTCATTTCGTATCAAAGCTGTCATCGGCAACCCTGTGGTTGTGGTGCAGGTAGTCCAGGACAACACGTTTTAGTTTAAATCACCAGTAAGGGATATTTGGATGCAGTGGGACAACACCAGTCTGGAGCTGGCTTTAATGGAAGAGGCAGATGAGGGAAACTCTTTGATAACTCAACTAAATGGACTGTTCATGCATTACATTCCCAGGCAGACACACACCACTACAGCTTCACTGATGAGCTCACGAGTCCCTGTAGCCACAGCCCACCAGTAAACACACTCCTGACTCGGTCAGAGAGAGGTCTCCACTCACCTTAGACCTGTGGTAGGAACATGACTTCACTTGGTTGGGATTACTCCAACAGGTCGCCCAGTTTTGTGCTTGTTTTTTTTTTTTAACTACCTTGTGTTTGTTTATTGTTTTGTTTCCTCAGTTGGTCCATTTTTGTGGGACTATTGGGGGTTTGGTAAGGCCCTATCATTGGGTGGGTAACTTGTTGTCATCTCTGGTGAACCAGGAAGTGGAGGGGTGGTGGTAAGGCCCCTGATGGAGAGGTTGTGATGCTGCTCTGGTGCAGAGGAATTTTGGTAAGGCTCTACCGGTGGCTCAGATGTTCATGAGGCCATTGGCAGCAAGCTCATGGAATGAGTGTCTAGTGCGCCACACGGTGATGGGTCCGTTCCGGGCTTCCTGGAATCACTCTAGATTTAAACTCTCCAAAACTAAAAGTAATCCTGATTTTAGACAGCCAGCTTTGGTCCGTGTGGCCTTGAATTCATCAGCTGGCCAGACTGGATGATGAGAGGTGGTATTGGCTGTACAGTGATCCCTCGTTTATCGCGGTAGATGCGTTCCAGACCTGGATGTGATAGGTGAAAATCCGCGAAGTAGGGACACCATATTTACAGTATTTATTTAACAGGTTCGTATTCAGTATTCAGACTTTTAAAACCCTCCATTTACATAGTACTGTATTTTTACTTGTTTTTTTTTTATAGTTTTATTACAAAAAGTGCATTTTATGATAAAATCGATGAAAAAAAACAGGAATTTCTTGATATTTCGCATAGAAAAATACCGCGAATCGGCGAATTTCCCTTCAATAAGGCTCCAAAGAAAAAATCCGCGGTCGTGAATCCATGATAAAACGAACTGCGAAGTAGCGAGGGATCACTGCATACACACACACACACACACACACACACCACACACACACAGATGTGATGTTGCTGGCTACGTTAGAACCGTGGGATCTAAATGAGCCGGGCCTCAGGGCTTAATGACGGTCAGAGTGTAACGTATCAGTCACTCATCGGGTGGAAGGAGGTCCTCTTCCGTAATCCTTCGGCTTTTACCCAGGGAGCAGCCATCTCGGCTTCACCTGCTCCTGGTCAGTATATTAAAGCACCGTTTCCTGTTTTCATTTCTATTTTTTTCTCCCTTGCCCAAACTGGTGCTGTTGGAACTCCCATCTTAACTCCGCCTTCCCTCTTTCCCCTCTCTTGCAGCCGCCTACAAGCACGCGGACGGAAAGAAGATTGATGGCAGACGGGTGTTGGTGGACGTGGAACGGGGACGTACTGTCAAAGGATGGCGTCCTCGCAGGCTGGGTCAGTTTGTCCCTTTTAAATGTAGACGCGTCCTCTGTTGCACAGAGAGCCAGGTTAGGGTTAGTGTCCATCTTTTCTGAAGCAACACAAAAAATAAAATTTAGACAACAAAACAAGATAAAAATCACGAGGCACTTCACCAAAACAAAAATTTCAAACTGCAAAAAATATTAATTAAAATGAGCAAAAAATAGACAATTGTGATTAAAAATGTACAGAAAGAGAGAGTGTGAACAGGAAAGAGGGAAATCAGTGGATCCTGAGGAAGGTGGAATAGGTGGGGAGAGCAGAACAAGGAGAGGGTGATGAAGGTCACACTAAAGCCTGAACAGGTGAGTTTAAAAGAGACCACTGAGTCCACTGATCTCAGGCTCAGGGGGAGAGAGTTCCAGAGTCTGGGGGCCACAGCAGCAGATGATCTGTCACCTTTGGTCTTTAGCCTGGTGCTGCACAACCAGTAGGCTTTGATCACTGGACCTCAGGGACCTGCTGGGGGTGTAGGGACTAAGAAGATCACCAATGTAAGATGGTGCTTGTCCATGTAAGGCCCTATAGACCAGAACCAGGATCTTGAAATGAACCCTGAAGTTGACTGGCAGCCAGAGAAGCTGGAGGAGAAGCGGGGTGATGTGGGTGTGTTTGGAGGACTTGGTCAGAAGCCGAGCACAGGCATTCTGAACCACCTGTAGACGGTTCAGAGAGGTTCTGCTCAGACACGTGAAAAGAGAGTTACAGTAGTCTAAGCGTGAGGAGATGAAGGTGTGGAGAACTGTCTCAAGTTCAGAGCGGGACAGAATGGGACTCAGCTTAGCAATGTTCCGGAGATGGAAGAGCGAACAAGAGAACTAACATGAGAATCCAGGGTGAGAGCTGGGTCAAAGGTCACACCAAGATTCCTGACAGAGGGTTTGGTGTGAGAAGCAAGCTGACCAAGAGAGTCTCTGACTTTGGGGACCAGCTTGTCTGGGGCACAGATGAGGATCTCAGTCTTACCTTCATTCAGCTGAAGAAAGCTCCCAGCCATCCAGGTTATGATACTAAGCAGGTGTGTAACAGCTGCAGCTTTGACATCTCATGGGGCTCAACCCTTTAAGCGCCACAGTCACAATACTGCGAAAAGCGTTGTTGCTGACTTTAACAAGCCACAGCTACCATCCCTCATGAAGTCACTACTTTACACCAGAAGATAGTGGAGATGTGTAACTTCAGGCTGAACAACACTTATGGGTGCGTTTATATTAACAGTTTCTGAGTTTTTAGGGTTTGAAAACTGCGAGAGGTTCCCAGTCGAGGAGAGGACGGGTGGAGACGAGCGCAGCACGGAGAGGGCGAATATTAGAGGGATAAAACTTAAATTGCAGGCAGGTCTGGTCATGACTGACTCCGATTATAAAGCAGAATATTGTCTCTGATGAAGAAATTCACTCATCCAGCCGGAAAGATGACGCTACTGCAGCAACAGACAGCTGGTGCTGCACGAGAGTATGGTGTATGGAGCTTACAAGCTCCAAGTGTTAGGTTTGACGTTTGTTTCACCGTGTTTGGAACATGGTGGATGTAGAAATGATGGTAAAACACCGCTAATGTGACAGATGTCGCTGCAATGGGGAAAAAAAGCAGCAGATGTGTTACATATGGAAGTCAAACTGTGCCACATAACTATAAAAAATGTTCCTTCCCTTGGGTCAAATGATCATTACACTCATCCCTGGAGCTGTACAAGCCCAAAGAAACCTGACAAATATGGCTGAAAAGCATTCCTCTTGAGTGAGGCCAATGTAAATGTCAGATAATACAATATAAAAGCTAAACTATCTAATTGAAACTTCAAAGGAGCTTTATATATGGATATATAAATAAAAAAATTTAAATGTGATAAATTCAAAAATGATGCATTTCCATTACGGCAGCCTGGTGAGGTCAAAATATGACTGTTTCGGTTCTACTGAAGATTTTTCTCAGTTAGTTTTGTCTCTAACCGTTTCCAAGCTACAACCTTTTCAAATAGTTGTGTTAAAATTAAATATTGTCTTGAAATATCTCTGGCACCCAAAAGGTTAAAGGAGATGTACAGTTGGATGTCATCTGCATAAAGATTGCATTAAAGGAGCTCCTTTGGTGTGTTTTCATTAGGGGTGGGACTCGATTAAAAAAATCTAATTCATCTTAATTAATCGTATCAGGAAAAAATACCCTGAAAGAAAATTTTTTTTCATTAAAAATGAGGCAAAGAATGAAACATTCAACGTGGATATTGTTACTGTAAACTAAAGCTCTTAACTCATTCACTGCCAATGACGATGTTTTTACTGTGTGGGCGTCGGACGAGCCCCCGCGCAGAGAGAACAAACATCTCAGCTCTAAAGCCGATCTTCATCCGCGTACGTCACACGTCACGTGATCAGGAAGCAGAACATCCATGTGTTAGGAGATCGTTTTGGGCCGCTGCTGTAAAAAAAGTGAGGCGCGAACCGGAAAAGCTTCTGCCGATCACAAATCAACAACGGATTATGAAAGAACAGATAACGCTCGAAACACGCAGATTCTTCCGCATGTAAGAGGTGAGTCTCCGCTTTGTTTTGGTAGTTTTGGCGTCGAGTGAGCAACGTTCTGTGACTCTTAAATAAACCGTAAGAATGGTGAGAAACGCTGGCAGCGATTGAGTTAATTTAAAAAATGCTTTTCAATTCTTCAAATGTCACTGTGTGATATGAAACAAGACCCAAATCAACTAAAATGTACAACTGCAGAACAGCTGCAAAGAGTTCCTGAGCCTTTAAATGGTCTCTGTTGATTTACTGAAATAGTTGGATTTTACTTGTTAGTATACTTTGGTGTTTTGTTATTTATTAGTCATTATGTAGTAAAATGTCTAAATAAAAATCCTTAAAGACTCTAGAATAGGCACAAATCTGACCGAGGACTTGAATCTACTACCTGGCCAAATATTTTGAGCTGATTGGAGGACGTCAAGGTGGTGCCCATCTGACACTGGCTAGCCAATCAGTAACAACTCAAACCATGCCCACCTGTAACACAACTCGCTCAAGCTTCATTCACTCATACGGCAATTACCATGTCTTCGGGTGATTTCAGCCGCTTTTGCAAGAAGAACATGTGCATAAAAGGTGTTTTAAGCCACACAGCTATGTTATTCGAACCTGCTAAAGCGACCCAGCAAATGTTAACTAAGCGCTGAAACTGCGTCAGTCCAACATGGTTGAAAAATGGTTCTAAAGTGACATAAACGTCTTTCAGCGCGTCTCATTTGGATGTTTACTAATTAAAATTCAGGCTTATTACTGTAGAAAATACATATAATTAGTGGAATTAAAAACGTTTCCGTATGCCGTCGGAGTCGGATCGTTGTATGTCCTTGCCTGGATTCAAACCCGGGTCCCCGGCATGTAAGGTGGTCACCTTACTCTTTGACATGTAGATGATGTCACCTAGTGGATGTAGACTGATTCACAACATGCTTTATGTTGAACTACACGTAGCTATAAAATAACAATTATACATGTAGAAATGTAGCGGAATGGGATTTTAGGGAATTCTCGGTCATGTTTTAACTTATTTAAGACGTCCGACCGCGACCATTCTTGGCCGTGGGCCCGCGCTGCCGTCGTGACTTGATTGCTGTTAGCATCAACCGTTTTGCTTAGCCAGGTTGGTACTATCATCTAAACTAAGTCCCGCCCTACAGCACAGTGCTGACACATGATTGGATCGGCCTATTTTGGGCCGGAGGTCAGACGGTTTGAACTGTAGCGGTACAAGATGGATTCTCCTGAGTTTGGAAAACTCCAAATCTCGCAAAAATTAGCTTTCAGCGCAAGATTAATGCCACCGAGCAGCAGCTGGGATCAAAGACGGTCTCTGAAAAATAAGAGGCTGACGTGTTTTCCAGATACTGCGATTAGCAGAGCACTGCATCAGTGATATTCGGCCTACAAAGACAAAGGTTCCGCATTATTTCAAGTTTTAGCTGTGATTAAATGCATCGATTTTTTTAATGTGTATTTATTTTCTAATCCACACGTTAAAAGTCCCACCCTTAATGTTTATGTTGTTTTTCCAGGCGGGGGCTTAGGAGGCACTAGGAGAGGTGGAGCCGACGTGAACATCAAGCACTCGGGACGGGATGATGCGTCTCGTTATGATGATCGCACCCTGGGGGGGTGAGTACACTTGAGTACACCTGTCTGCTGTAATAATGCGTTTTTTATGACCTCTGACCTTTTGCTCTGAACAGTGACCGCATCGACAGGAGGGAGCGGAGCCGAGAGCGTGATCGGGACAAGGACAGGGAGCGTCGCAGGTCCCGTTCCCGCGAAAGACGCAGACACTCCCGGGACAGAGAGAGGGAAAGAGAAAGGCCAGTTGGTGCAGGGGAGGAGGGCGGTGGGAGCAGCCGGCGTCGTGAACGGGAGAGGGAACGTGGGGGAGCAGGTGGAGGAGACAGCAGGAGTAGGGAGAGAAGCAGAGACCGGAAAAGGAGAAGCAGGAGCCGGGACCGTAAGAGAGACAGGGAAAGGGGTAAAGGGGTGGACGGGGAGGAAGTGGCCCAGGGAGACGGTCCCCCTGAGGGAACTGAGCGCATGTTGGAGGAAAATGAAGGGGAGGTGGCTGAGGCCACAGAGGAGCGCAAAGAGAGGGACAGGGACAGAGACCGAGACCGAGACAGGAGGCGCAGTCACAGGGACAGAGACCGGCGGAGGGAACGAGACAGAGATAGGGAACACAAGCGGGAGCGTGGGGACAGAGACAGGGGGGAGCGGAGGGAGGAGCGCCACGGGTCCAATCGAGAAGACATGGGTCCTCAAGAGGACATGGGTAATGAGGAGGACGGCGCTCCGCCAAACATGGAGGAATACAGTCAGGATGGAATGATGGAGCAGCAGTCTGCACCGTCAGCTGATGACTATGGATCTGGCGAAAACGGATACAAGATGGAGGCACCAGATGAGTACTAAGCATGAGGTCCCCATCCCACAGGAAGTCCCCCTAAACAAGCCCTCCACTTCCTGTCCCAGGCCTCCAGAACCTCCTAAGGATCCAAACATTTAGTTAGCTTTCCTTTTTCCGCTCGTATGGCAACCATGTTGAGGTCCGCTGATCGCCCTGCTCGTCGGGGGTGGGGCTTAAAGCCGGAGCCAGGTGTGTTTAGAGGTGTTAGAAGCAGACGTGTTGTGGTGGAGCAGCTGAGCCTGTTTTGGTTTTTCATCTTTTTTTTATATCTGCAGGTCATTTTAATAAAGATGTCTTGATTGTGACAGTGGTGATTATTTTAGTACACAGCCTTTTGCCTGAGGTGCTGGTGCAACACACACACTCTTTAATCCCTAAACGTTTTCTGAACGTCCTGCTGACCAGGACGACGTTCTGACTCATATTTTTATAAAACACGTTCTCAGTCCTGGTCCTGGAGACCCAGTTTCCAGCATGTTTTAGACCTTTCCCTGCCTTTAATCCACAGAGCTTCGTGTGCTGCCGAACAGGTGTTTGAGCAGAGGAACCAAAACCTGCCGGATACCGGTCCTCCAGAACCAGGATGGAGAACCCACTGTTCAGTTTCTACTGAGTCGAGGTTCTAGTTTTATTTTGACCCAGACCGTAGAGGTTCTGAAGTGGTTTCATCACCAGAACTACAGATGTGGGTCCTGCGGGGCTGACTGCTGGTCCCGGTTCTGTACTTGCAGCCTCACGTCGGATTAAGTTATCTGCTGCTGATTATTTTATTCTCGGGTTTGGGTTCAGGTTCTGACGTGGACCTGGCCCGTAACGTTTCCTGTTCTAGTTTTAGAGTTCAGGTTTACCCCACCGGTTCCGTCCAGCTGAACGGTCTGGACTGTCTCACCTACGAGGTTGTGATGAGAACCTCCCCAGTGGTTCGGTCCAGAACAGCTCTGACCCGGAGGGGGCTGCTGCTGCTGCGCTTCTCTCAGCCTCTCGGAACCAGCCCGGTCTCATCATGCCCTCATCAGAGCAGCTGTGAGACTCCTGGACCAGAACCTGCCGTGACCATCAGACAAGGACCTCAGGATGATGTCCTCCTACCACCCTAAGGAAGCCGACATGTCGGCTACGACCGAACCGCTCTGCCTGGAAAGAGGTAGGTTTCGGGTCTGCAGCAGAACTGGGTCGGGTTTGCATCCCGGATCCAGAGACTAAACATGTACTGATGTCAAATGTGAGCCGCTCTGGAGCTTCCTGCTTCACGCGGTTCTGTTCGGACTCGGGAGCCTAGCACAGACGGGTTGGGCCTGTCCAGGTTCCGTTTTCAGCTGCATGTTTAATGTCTGAGCGGTTCCGGTAGCCTGTCGGAACCGGACCGGCTCTATATAGCCACCTGCAAAGATGGACCATTATGATCCGGACCGGTACCAACTAGCTTGTTCCGAACCGAGACGTCTCAGGTGTGAGTGGATAAATATTAGCTCAGTAGTAAAAATGTTACATTTATGTCACGTGACCCTTTCCTAAAGCCATATTTTCATGAGGCTTTTAATTTGAAACTCAGGTTCTGACCGCCGCACAACTGACCTTCTGGGTTGGTTCTGATCATCAGTGTTGGAGCTGACCGGATGTTGGCCTCTCAGGACCAGGACTGGTTTAGGGTCAGCCAGACCAGCCCTGGGTCACCGACTCAGTTTGGTAGTCTAAAAACCCAACAGAACCAAACCTACATATGAGTTTAGTTCAGCAGAACCTAGCTGTGGGTTCCAAAGGGATTGAGACGTTCAGCTGAACCGGGTCCTTGTCGACTTTGGGTTTCTATGAAGTATATCCAGTCCCTCTATGGTTCTGGAGCACTCAGCTCTCCCTGCAGAGATCCAGAGCACGGATCTGACTGCTGTGGTTCTGGTCCAGAGGCACAGCCATGGACCGAGCCAGCATCAAGGCGTAGCCCTGCTCAGCAGAAAGCTGTGTGTCCATGTGGTTCTGTTGGTTGGTGATGGATGGTGCTGGTCATGCTCTTTCAGATCCAGACTGACCATTGGGTGATGGCTAACCGTCTACAGAACCAGAATATCTGAAGAAGGTGGACGGCTACATCACTCCGGACCCAGCAGGAGTAATGGGTGGGGGCTACGGGTGAAGCCCGGTGTAACCCAGGTTTGTCTTTTAGATGTGTGCCGGGTGATCGAGCTGCTGGACCGGCTGCAGCGGACCGGGGAGCTGCCCCCTCCCAAGCTGCAAGCCCTGCAGAGAGTCCTCCAGAGCAAATTCTGCGCCGCCATCAGGGAGGTACGTTACAGGCAGGGGCGTGTCCAGGGAGTGGCCTGGGGTGGCACATGCCACCCTTGGAATCTGATTGGCCACCCCAGGTGCCAACACACTAATTTCTTTAAATAGGCTTTTCATTGTCCACAAAAGGCTTGGGGGTAAAACAAAAAAAGCATAACCATTGGTGCCACCCATGCGCCTCACCTGGGCCACCCCATTTTAAAAGATCTGGACACGCCACTGGTTACAGGAAGTGTGTTACAGCCTTTTGTTGTCCGATTTCCGTCAAATCAAGCTGTTCCATCTACAGGCACAGCTCCAACGTTAGAACATCATGAGGTGAGTGGGACCCGTTTGATTCGTAGATGCATCACTCGGAGTGGGATGCTTTTGGTTCTGGCTACAGATGAGGAAAAGACTAATTCTGTCAGAAAGTTAGAATATTGTGAAACTATAGAAACTCCAGGTGACACACCCTACTCAGCTGATGAACTCAGAGTGGGTCATGACGGCTGACTGGACACGTCCACCAGGAGGGCGGTCACAGGTCTTGAAGGATCTGAGGTTTCTCAGCCGTTCCTGTGCTTCCTCCATGAATCGTTGTGTTTAATCACAAACCTTCAGACTGAATCCTGTAAACACAGCTTAGACCTGATGTGACACCTGTTGTCTGTTCTGTTGACCTCCAGGTGTACGAGCAGCTGTACGACACTCTAGACATAGTTGGAGGACCAGAGGTGCGAGCACAAGCAACAGCCAAGGTACTAGAACCTAAGTCCTGGACCCGAGTCCAGATGCAGTCGGCTCTAGTGTGATGACACCTCCAGTTTCCGACAGGAGCTCTTCCTGCTCAGAAGCAGCTTTACCTTGTGAAGTGCCTCTTGTCCCGGTTTGGCGCTACATAAATAAACTGAACTGAAGTGTGAGAACCTCCATCAGAATGCTGCGAGAACTAAGATGTTCTGCAACCATCGATCCGGTTCTGGCACTTTGCTGATCATTGGAGGTTCTTGTTGTTTCAGGCCACCGTGGCAGCCTTTGCAGCCAGCGAGGGTCACGCCCACCCCAGGGTGGTGGAGCTCCCCAAGACTGAAGAGGGGCTGGGCTTTAACATCATGGGGGGGAAAGAGCAGAACTCCCCGATCTACATCTCCAGAGTTATTCCTGGAGGAGTAGCCGATCGCCAAGGAGGGCTGAAGAGAGGAGACCAGCTGCTGTCTGTCAACGGAGTGGTAAGAAGCTCCGGTTCCTTGTGAGGAGGTTCTGCTCCCTAGAAGGTTCAGATAAAAAACAGCATGCCTCCCAGTTTCCTGATGTTTTAGAGGCCGTGTGGGCAGCATGTGGTTCAGATTCATGAGTGATCGTGTTGTTCACTAGCTGTGTGCTTGTGACCATGCAGAGCGTTGAGGCGGAGCAACACGAGAAGGCTGTGGAGCTGCTGAAAGCCGCACAGGGTTCGGTCAAGTTGGTGGTCCGCTACACTCCCAAGGTTCTGGAGGAGATGGAGGCTCGCTTTGAGAAGATGAGGAGCGCCCGGAGACGCCAGCAGCACAGCAGCTACTCGTGAGACCGCTTGTCAGTTTGGGCTCAGACACACCTGTGAAAGTGTCCCCGTGATCTCCGTAATACTCTGGTGTAGTATCTAGGACACAGTGCTGGTAAACGTTACAACTGTCATCGTAGTTTCTCATCAAAACAAATAAAAAAAATAACACAATCAAGTAGCTGGGATGAGAATCAGCCCCGCTGAATCTGAGACCTAAAATCTGAGGTCTTGAGTCGGAAAAGGGTAGAAAGCCTTCTCCGGGTCAGAGATGAGGTCCTGCCCCAAGTGGAGGAGTTTAAGTATCTCGGGGTCTTGTTCACGAGTGAGGGAAAACTGGAGCGTGAGATCGATAGGCGGATTGGTGCTGCATCTGCAGTGATGCGGGCGTTGTACCGGTCTGTTGTGGTGAAGAGAGAGCTGAGTCAGAAGGCGAAGCTCTCGATTTACCATTTGATCTACGTTCCTACCCTCGCCTATGGTCATGAGCTTTGGGTAGTGACCGAAAGAACGAGATAACAGATACAAGCGGCCGAAATGAGTTTTCTCCAAAGGGTGGCTGGGCTCTCCCTTAGAGATAGGGTGAGAAGCTCGGTTATCCGGGAGGGGCTCGGAGTAGACCCGCTGCTCCTCCACATCGAGAGAAGGATGCCTCCTAGACGCCTGCCTCCCTGGTGAGGTTTTCTGGGCACGTCCAACCAGTAGAAGACCTAAAGGAAGACCCAGGACACGCTGGAGGGACTACGTCTCTGCTGGCCTGGGAACGCCTTGGGTCCCCCTGGAGGAGCTGGCTCAAGTAGCTGGGGAAAGGGAAGTCTCGGCCTCCCAGCTTAGGCTGCTGCCCCCAAATAAGTGGATGCATGGACGGAGTTTTGGTTAGATTTTGTACATCCTGATGTTGTGTGTCATGTGTTTGTCTTGTTTCTGACCCAGCAAGGACTGGAAGACTTTTGTAACGGACTTACACATATAAAAGCATTCAACTGATGAAGGGTGGTGTTCTGATTTTCTGAGAAAGCACAAAGGTGTTGTCTCATGTGTTCACACCTGGGTGACATCAGATCATATTGTAAACGCGGATCACAGGATCCACGTTTAGAAGTCACACTTTGGGTTGAATCCTTGTCCCTTGTCTGTCCCTACACCTTGCGGGGGTCTCCTGTTTGGTTCTGTGGAGTTTTCCAGGTGTCCTGTCTGACTCAAATCTAGGGTTTCCTTATTTTTCCGTCCGTGTCCATAAACCTGAAGCTTCCAACCCAGAACCAAAGAAGCTTTTGGATGAGAGGGCTGTGTGTAAGCGTCAGGCCCCCACAATCCTGGGATGAACATGAAGCCAACAGGAAGGTGGCTAAAAGTGCAGTACCACCCCCATCCACTAGGGGCTGGTGTCAGAAGCAAGCAAATCCTCATTGACTCCCATGTTAAAAATACCAATTTCACAGCAGAAATAAACATGTTTTAGGTTTAATAGATCTAGTTTACACTCATGACAACTCTGAGGGGGGTGGATGTTTTGTAACTCTTCCGTTTAAGTTAAATTTCAGAATAATTAATGAGCATCAGAGCCACGAGACTCCAGAGCTAGCTCTGAGAAAGACCTCAGCCTCACGTTAATAGATGTTCGGCCGTTTCGGCCCTCTGAACTTTAGTTTTGTCTGTGTGTTCGTGTTTGGATGTTAATCATGGAAATATTTGGACAAAGGGGCAGGCTGTGGTGATTGACTGCACTAACAGCTCAGCCAAGCAGTTTCTGCTCCTTTTTCTCAGTAAGTAAAATGACATTTCTGTACTTTCTTGTGCTGGTTGAATGGAGGAATGTGGTGTCATTTAACTGCTTGCTCACACATGTTAGTGGGGCTGCTGGTGCTGGCTGGATAAGAAACCTGAGCCCAGCTTCTTGTGTCTCCTGCCAGAGAAGAGATGCTAGAGCTGTTCCCGTTTCCCGGGGCCGCCAGATGCGCGGACCGGCTCCGACGCGAGGCTGTAGTCATGCTGGTCACTTGTGGATCTCTGAGGGAGACAACGGAAACACCGCAGCTCAACTGCACTTTTCTCGCTAACAGTTTTCTGGTTGAATGAAGGGAAATTCTGTGTTCACCATAACCCGCTTGGTCTGAGATGGGCTGAAATATAACGTGTTGTTGTGGCTGCTGTAGGGTTTTGTGGGTAACAAAACTAGAGCTACATATCTGACCGAGGGTAGCGGAGGCTATCGGGCTTTGCTGTTAAAGGTCAAAGGTCCACCACTGTCAACTTGGCTCTCGGGTCCATGTCAAAACAGCGGACTCGTGGATCTTTCACCGTGGTGGACCAGCAAAGCCTGACATCCTCAGTCAGCTCACCTAGGTATGATTTTGTTACTAAGCAGGCCGGAGGTGCCTTCACCTTGGACTTGCTCTACCGCGTTTTCTTGCTAAAACCCAGAAAAACTCTGTTAGCTTTGGGATAGCACGTAGCTCACATCCCGCTGATCTCTGACTGTGGAGCAGGAGCTGATGGAAAAGGCTACGGCGCCCGGCTGCGATTGCAGCGGTCTTAGGCTCTGATTGTAATTTAACAGTCCCGGTCCATATCAGATCCCCACAGGCGACCAGCATGACCACAGCCTCGCACGGAAACCAGTCTGCAGTCCGACTGGTCTACCCTGGTCCTTGGAGCCCTTCTTGGGTTAGCTAGTAGCTACATCGGTTCATTTGTTCCAACTCTCTTCCAACCATAACAGCTTTGCCCTCAGCTCCACCTCTTTTGCCATTTTTGGATTGTCTGGGTGTGGCAAGACGTGTGACACATTCAAAATGGCGGTGGTGGGAACCTCCCATTTGGAAACAAAACCTTATATTTCATGCCTATGGAAAAGAAACATCCAGCATATATGTGGATGGTAACCATTGGGGGGGGTGGGGGGGCTGGTGTGTGGAGAATACTGAATACGATTCTGTCTTTCTTTCTTTTTCATCAGATCTCTGGAGTCCAGGAGCTAACTAGTCCTCTACCTCTACCACCTCGTTGTCCAGCCCTCCTGGCTCTTCTGTCCTCATGGGACCGAAGAGCACTGATGGAGTCTCCTCTCCACTCATCAGACCATCACCTCCCTGTGTGTGTGTGTGTGTGTGAGTGTGTGTGTGTGTGTCCCACTGCCTCTTCCTTATGTCGGCCTGAAATTCTGCTAATATAACAAAGAGCCACATCAAGGAGAGACTTGTTAACAAGTGGACCTGTAAGCTACCTGATCTGATCCAAGTCAGATGATTCTTTAAGTCTTCAACTGATTTCTTGACACTTAATCTTTGTGGAAAAAGTGTTTGAACCATGGAGTCCCAGTGTGCATTAATGCTTCCAGTAAAGTTCCTACTTATTAAAAACTCTCTTGATTGTTCTTTGTTCAGAAGTTGCAGAATAAACTGGAGATCATGGGAAAAAGTTCTGGATGACAATGGCCTCCTGGCTAATTCTCAGGATTCTGTTGAGTGTTTCTTAAGAGTCTTCAATGACATCCTGATGCAGAGTCAAACAGATGTTCTGCTTTGATCGTGTCAGAGTTGAGTGCAGACTTTCTCACCACTGACCATCACACGCTGCTCAGTATGCTGAGAAACTGGGTAGGTTTATCAGGATCTGAGCTGTCCATCGTCCATCTCCCTTACTTACGGTGTGCCCCAAGGTTCTGGTTTGGGGGATTACTGTTTTAGTTTATCTCCTCCCCTTCAGCACATGAGCATCCTAACGTTGTTTAGACCGTACCAAAGCTGGATGATGGACGACCTTCTACAGCTGAGTTAAGAAAGCACAAGCTTTTACTTAGGGGTGAGGACTCAGAGCTCCAGTTCATTCCTGCTTTATCGCCTTAGATTTCTTACCAAGTTTAGCATCAGCATGTCTTACCCAGAACTGGAAACTGTTATCCCATTTACACACCACTGGGCTGCTTTTCCAGTTCCCCTGGCTCCAGATTTCTGCTAGAGTCTGTTGTCAGACCTCAGTTTTAGTTTACAAAGCTTTACATAGGAATCACCAGCGTACAGACAGCTTTGCTCACCTTACATGCCCATCAGGTCAGTGAAGTCATGTGATTAAGGCTGGCTTACCAGTTGTCCAGCACAATTGGTCAAATATTGTTGGAGATGCAGCATTTGCAACCGTTGCTCCTAGACAATGCAAAACTCCTGAGATCCAAGCTCTCTGTGGTCTTTTTAAACACCATTGATTTTTAAATCTATTTTATCTTATAGCAATTGGCGTTAGAATCTCTCTTTCATTTTATAAAACAAAGTAAAAACACTAAATAACAAACTATGAAAACATGCAGGTGTTTAAAACAATTTAAAATCCCCCTGGCAGGTTTGGGGTAAACTCATCTGATGGCCGAAGTGTAAAACATATAAAATATTTATAATATAAAAAAATATATATTAGAAAATGGTTTTTGGTGTTTTTTTCAACAAAACCACCAAGAGCTAAAAGTGTTCAAGAGTTGTGTTGACATCTGGAAAATATTTATTCAGCCATCAAAGTTTCCCAATAAATATGCCCGTAGTTTTTTCTATGAAAATAAACATTAGGATGTTTCTTCCTGTTTCAAAATACAAAGCCAAAAAATGAAAATTTACATATAATTTAAACAACAGCAATAATAACAGCAATGTAATGATAATAATAATAATAAATTTAAAAAGTCACAATCATTAATGATTTAGTTTAGTTCGTTCAGTGGGGAAAACGGGGACACATTTCAATGTAACGCCTATACTTGCGGAAAAACACCGGAAACGGAAACAAAAAGTCAGATGGAAAGTCCTACTTCAAAGAAAACGCGGGTGATTTGTGTCTAAAACAGATGTAACCCGTTTAGTTAAGACTTCCTGAACCACTTAAACCAGGTTAAAACCCCGGAGGCTAACACCGATGCTGACGCGGGTACTCTTAACTACTGCAGCTAGTTACCGTAACTAGCCGGACACCTGCATTCTGGGTGGTTTCAGTTGTAACAGCCGCCGCTCCAGGCGAGTCTGTCGGTGCTCCGTAGCTCACTTCCTGTTAACCAGCAGATGCGGTCAGACCTGCATCAGGACCATCTCAGGGGGAGAGTCCAGAGAACACGCTGCCAGTCCTGCTTTTCTCCTTTCTAGTTGGGTCCCTGTGTCCGGTTTCCACCTCGGAGGAGTACGAAGAAGTCTTCTGATCCGACTTCTCCAGGAAGGAGCTGTATGTACCTGGTCAAACAGTTGTCTGACCGGACTCAGCCGTCGGTTTCCTTTGCCGTTATATAAAATCATTCCCGGTGTGCACCTGGACAGATTTAACTGGTAGGAGTGAAGGATGCTGGTTAACTTCACCTTTATTGTTGTGTTGGAATGAGTAAAACATGGACGAGCCTGATTCTGGTGGCGTCCATGCTGACATGACACACACAGCATCTGGAAAGCATTTACAGTTCTGCTGGACGGGAGGTCGGTAGATGAAATACAGTGAAATACATGTTGTAACCCTGCTTTGAAGACCTGACATTCAAAAGTGGTAAAAGAGCCTTTTTTTCACCAGATTACAGACATGTTTGCCCTTAAAGACCACAGCAAGACCTCCACCACGACGTGTCGGGCGTGGTGTGGTTAACACAGAGCAGTTTGGTGGACGTATTTCATTGAAGTGTACAAAGTGTCCATCTTGCTCCGTAAGAAATAAATAAATAGTCCAACTTTTCTCTGGTGAACAGCTCATTTAAAATGAAGGATTTGTTTGAGATGGAGCGGGCGTTTAACAGGGCACCCCGAACTGAATCCTGGAGAACATTTGTCTTCTTAATCTGTTTGAGAGGGATGGGTCGTAAACATCTGGTGTTCTGGGTTCTCCGGCCATGAATGCAGGTTATGTCTTTGTTGGTTGATAAATGAGCTGGAATAGGGAAACTCTTGAGTTTGTCAGCAGAAGACAACATTTTGGTGATTGTGACCTTTGGAAGACACACAGAAGACTGTTGCATCGTGGGAAGACTGTAGGGAGTGATGTTATTTGTGGTGGGGGTGTGAGAGATGGCCAAAGAAGGTGAAGATGGCTGGGATGCAAACCAACATGTCTGTGGAAGGGAATCCACCACAGATGTATATCTATGGGACTGCACAGCATACCGGATGTTAGCGGTTAGCATGCTAGAGCTATGTTGGTTAGGGTGAATACCATCTCGTCTGAAAAAGGAGAAACGGTTCCAAAACAGGTTAAAATTATCGATGAAACCAAAACTGTGGGACCTGCAAGCAGGCTGAAGCCAGGAGTAGAGAGAGAGCAGACGGCTAAAACGTCCATATCCACGAGAAACTGTGGGGATCGGGCCGGAGATGAAAACAGACATTCTGCTGCTCTTCAGACTGTCAAAGAGATGGTTCACATGCTGTTGAGTGATGACGGACTCCCGGCGTGTGACATCGTTTGATTCCACATGAATGATCACTCTTTTAACTGAAGCTGGGATGGAGTAGAGCAGACCAGGAAGTTTATCCAGGAGAGCAGGTATGGTGGCTGATGGAAAACATCTCGTCATGACGTTAAAAAAGAATCACCTACCAGCAAAGTGGTTGGTGGAAACAGTGGATGAGGCGTAGAGGACTCCTGATTTGTGTTCCCGTGGAGTAGTGGAGGATTCTGGGTTTGGGTTCCGGTGGTGCCGGGGAACTGGAGGGTTTGCCGTGGAGGAGCTCACCTCCTGACCCAGGGCAGGTGGTTCAGCGGTCCAGAATTTTGCGTTGGGCATAAGAGGTTGAGGTCTGGGGGGAAGAGACTGTGGAGGTTGCTTCTCCCGGAGGCTCCTGCTGGATGTCATCAGATGGTTCAGAAGGAGGAGGGCGCCTGGAGGTATCAGCTGGTTGTTCCAGGTCAGGTGGGGGGATGGGATCAACTACAGGGGCTCTCCCACGGCCACGTACCACAACCTCTGACCAAGGTGAAAATGGGTCAGGAGTAGAGCTGGAAGTTGGTAGTCGTGGTGCAGCAGGATCACAAGCAACGGTGACTTGGAGTAGAGAGTTCTACACGGATGTTTTATCTTCAAACTGACTGGCAATAGTCAGTACAGGGGTACAAGATCTCAAACTATCCAGCAGCATTTCCTTCTTTTGCTGTTCTGCAGAGTCGTCGTACATCCTCTTTAGGGTTTCCAATTCTCTTATTTGCTTTAGAAAGCATAAAGGCGTCATCGTGGGGCAGAAGGAACGGGTGGACAGACATTCAAAATAGCTTCAAATTTTAGCTGAGCTGCCTCTGTCAGATCCAAAAGTTTTTTATTCCAAATAAAGATCCAAGAGTCAAAGAATCCAAAAAGTAAACAGAGGTCCAACAAAATCACAGAATCCCAAGATTGGTGACAGGAAACAAACTGGTTTTAAGGTTTTAAGAGTAATTAGAGCACAAAAAATAGGAGCTGAAGTAAACTCGTCTGCAGACTTCTTATCTTCATCATCAAAGATGATGGTGATGAAGATGATGATGAAGGTGATGTTGGGGATGATGATGTGATGAAGATGAATATGTCAGTGATTAGGGTGATAATGATGATGTTGGAGATGAAGATGGTGATGATGGTAATGGAGATAATGTTGGTGATGAAGATGACTCATAGTTCTTCTCAAAAATCCTTTTTGTTTTCCAGTGAGGATGAGCTGCTCCACTCTTCATTCTCCTCCCCCATCTCCTCACCCTGTCCCATTGCCTATCTCCTCTTCTTCTGTGACCAGCTGTCCTGAACTGGACTTGTCAGTCACTCTTAGCCCCACCCCCATGATTGACGACACACAACAAAAGCTCCGCACACTGAAGCAGAGTGTGCTAAATGAGCAATCTCAGATGAATCGTTGCCAAAGCGGCCCGGCTGGGAACAAGAGGAGCACAAAGGTGTGTGTGTGTGTGTGCGTGTGTGTGTGTGTGTGTGTGTGTGCGCGCGCACGCACGCAGTGTGACTGTGTTTTTCTGATTCTATAAAGGAGATGTCTGAAGATCCAGTGACCATTACAGGAACAGCTGAGCCGCAGAAACTTCTTCCACTGCAGCCAGTTTTGAGTAAGGATACGGTACATCACCATGGTAACGAGAGCAGGAACACTGTACATCACCATGGTAATGAGAGCAGGAACACTGTACATCACCATGGTAATGAGAGCAGGAACACTGTACATCACCATGGTAACAAGAGCAGGAACACTGTACATCACCATGGTAACGAGAGCAGGAACACTGTACATCACCATGGTAACAAGAGCAGGAACACTGTACATCACCATGGTAACGAGAGCAGGAACACTGTACATCACCATGGTAACGAGAGCAGGAACACTGTACATCACCATGGTAACGAGAGCAGGAACACTGTACATCACCATGGTAACGAGAGCAGGAACACTGTACATCACCATGGTAACTGGAATACAAAAGTGTTTTGTGTTTGTATTTATTGCATTGCTTCATTCAGACTGACCTCAGCAACCTACTCTGTAGATCTAAACAGGTTCCTCACACAGAACACAGATCTAAAGTCATTATTAAACATCTAACATCACCTTGTGGTGAATGAAGAGCAGGGGTCAGAGGTCAAGAGCCAGCACCAGACAGATGTTTCTTCTCACTGTGCCAGTTTAGAGGACAAACTGGTTTGTGACTGGCTGGTTTTATGTGTTCATACGTAGAGTAAATGTATTTATTACCTTCCTGCACGTATGACATCAGGTCTTTAGTTTCTATTGTCCGCTTACTTTTTACTTTTATGGAGTTGAATCTTATTCCTGATCTTTATTAATAATAATCTCAGTGGTAACAGCTCCCCCAACCACAGAACCACGTTAATCTCGTCTCCATGTCTTTGTTTTTCATCCAAGGACCTCACAGACATTTGGTGGAACCTTCTTCTGCTCTGTCCAATCAGCATCCAAGCTGCCTGGAGAGGGCGGGGCTAAACACCACACTGGCGTTGAAGGCAAACCTTCAGTCACTGCAGGTTCGCTCTGATCATCTGACCCAGTCAGATCTCATGTGTTTGTTGCTTGTTTGGAGCTCTGGTGATTATCTGCATTCATTCATGCTCTTTGTTGTTTTTGGTAACAGCTTCTCGTTGGAGGCAACAATCAAAGTAACGTTTTCTGTTTGTGGATAAAAACCTCCTCAGAATCATCTGTTTTTGACCTCCTCTTATATTTGGATCAGTTTGTCTTGTGAGCTGATGCTAACTGCACAGGGTTGCTGGTTTGTGTCCTGGCTAAACCCAAAAGCACTTCAGCGGCATAGCACCAGTGTTCTGTCCAAATTATTCCAGGGGATCCGTCTGAAGATCGTTGTTTGGATAGGAACGTTTTTCTCACAGGGCTTATAAGGTCAAAACACCCAAACTGCACACGGATCAGCCATTAGGACTGGAACTGTGAGAACCTCGTTAGTCTTTGCAGGAACCAGAGTGAAGCCGTCCTTCCTGTAGAAGGTACAATAGTTTGAATGCTGTATTGTTTTCCTGTTTCTCTTTATAGTTTATTATTCTGCTTCCATACGTCTTTTGGCATTTAACTACTTCCACAATTCTTCAACTATTTACACAATTTTGGTATCAAAACGGTCAGCTCGTTCAGCTTATGCCGGCAATGACTTTTGGTATTAAAATATCTTATATTTTTTGAGATATTCAGCTTTTTCTGCGATTTTTGGTCCCATTGAAACGAATGGGATTGCTCAATTTTCAGCCAAATCCTATCACTTTTTTCAACTCCTACTCTTATAGGTTAACTTTAAGCTAGAGACTTCATTCAAGTTTCAACAAACTCACAAGACTTTCAGCTATTACTGGTTATAAAATCTTTTGCATATCTATTACAGTTTTTCTAAAATCACAGGTAGAAGTTGAGGTATGGCTTGAGATTTTCAGAAAAAATCACAACAATTATAATGGGCAGAGATACGAGCAATGACCCTCCTTTGCTCCATTTCTGGCGTTGTCCTGAGAAAACCGTAAGTTCGATTGAAATGAGACGCACGCTGGCTTGCAGCTAACGGATATACCTTCGCACCTCTCCAACAAAGACGGGATAAAGGGAGGTCGCATGTGACGTACAGGGTCGCGCATTCAGCGTCAGATAGAAGACACGTCAGACTGATGGCATTTCTTTTTCAGGGCCTTTAGCTTTGATGTGACCTGCTTTTTGTCCCACGTGACGCCCCGCTCAGTCAGTGTTTTCACCACTCTGTTGAACAGCTGGCCATCTCTCACCGTCCCCGTAAAAAGGCGACTAATCTGTTGGTCCGCTCGCACGGCCAAATGCTCCAAGGTCTCCACGTCCGTCTAGCCACTTCCTTCCGGCCGGCACCTGGCGTGCTGTACACATGACTAACGCGACCACCCTCTTTTGCGGGGGGGCCTCCCACAGTCACTCCAAAGGGATTAGCGGGGCTGACTCGCATTTAGCCGTCAGAGGTGAGGGGCTCATGCAACAATATTACTATCAAGCGAGGCGGAACGAATGCAGCAATATTCGCGCAACGCCATGCCAGCATGGTGCGTTTATAGACATACCATTGCGGTAATATTACGCCGATATGCCGGCATGGTGTGTCCTATAAAAGCACCAATTGAAACCCATGTTAAAGGAACAGAGATTTTCTCCTCTGATCGGCTTCAGACAGCTAAAATGTTCTCATCATAGCTTCTAGACAATTCATGGTAGGCACATAATAATTCACACAGACGACCATCAAAGCCTTCTGCCGCTCACGCTTTTTGAAAATTTCCAATAGGTGCAGCAGTTTTTGAATGGCGAAGAGCAACTGAGCTCTGTTAAATGAAACTGAGCTCACTTAAATGAAATATCGAAACAAAAATTTCCACCGACCACATATTTTATAGTACACTAAGGATATTCTCAAATTCGTTAGGTTATTTTGTCCCCTTCAAAGTGCTGTCTTTGGTTTTGCTGTTGGTATTACATTTTTTGTGCTACAATCCCCAGAAGGAGGACTGTGCCAGCTTTCCTCCATTTAAACCTCTTTAAAAAAAGGCACCTGTGGCCGACATACAGCTGAAATGTTCTCATATCTTCTAGAACATTCGTGGTAGGCACACAAGACTCCACACACATGACCACCAACGCCTTCTGCCGCTCACTCTTTTTGAATTTTTCGAATCGGTGCAGTACTTTTTGAATGGTGATGAGAAGTTTGGCAGGTCCAATTTCACTTCTGAAGGACAGATTTAAAGAGCAAGTAACGTCTAAATTAACTTTTTTTTTGCTGATGAACTGTATAAATGAGTGTCTAATAGTGTTTTAAATGTGTGTATTCATTATTTTAGCATTTTGGTGCATTTTCTTTAAAAATAAAAAATTCTGCCTAAATACCACAGTATAGCTCCACCTTCAGCTTAAAACATAGAATTTGACTCATTTTGAATAAATTTTAGCCAATGGCTAAAGAGTAAGATACTACGTAAACCAGTAGAGTACTACGTAGCAGCTCTGTGTCAAAGTTATAAAAGCATCGGGAGTCTCGGCCACGCCTTGTGGCGAGTTGGGAGTTGGATTTACAAGCGAGTGTAGGAGGCTAGCCGTAGTTCAGCATTAGCATATAGCATTAGCATATCCTAGTCTTTAGCATAGCTTTTAGTGTTATACATACTTATTTAGTGTTAGCTTGGCTGTTGGATATTGTAGTTTAGTTACTGTTTGGCTGTTAGTGTAATTAGGAAAGTAGTTCGGGTTTAGTGTTCCATATAGCGTTAGCATGGTGAGATGGTGTAGTGTAGTATGGTTGCGGAGCTCTGTCGGGTTGCACTCCTTTCCGCTGGACTTAGAAATTAGGCGCCAGTGGTTGCGTGTCTGGAAAAGATTCAGCTCCCGCCTGGTGCTGTAGTTTGCAACCAGCATTTTACCCGCGATTCTGCACGTCTCCGTTCCAAGAGGGAGGCTGTGCCCACTGTGGCTCTTCCGCGATTTAGATGCAGCCCACCGACTCTGCTTCCCCACCATGACGGGCTCCAGTCTGAGGTGAGTAAGCTAAATAAAAGTTTTAACATCTTCTAAAGACAATTCCCTTCCTAAATGCAAAGTTTGAGAGACGTGGTTCACTCCAGTTAGTTAATATCAGTCTACACTGCCTTCGGGCTGATTTGTCAAGTTCACAAAATGTGGAACGGGATGTAAGGTTAGAATCAGCGGCGAATCGGAACATATCTCGAAGCCCTGGCCGACAAAACGGTCCACATGACTGTCAAGCTCAGAGAAAATTCGGGTTGTTTTTGTGTCAGTCGGTAATTCTGCAACAGTGGCTCTAACTAACGCAGCACTAGTTGACAGACAGCATTACAGCATGAAATCCAGCACAGCGTGACCCGGTTCCGTGAGGAATTCTGTTCAGGAGGTCGCATTTCAGGGTCTCCACATCATATGTGACTGACTTTTACGTTATAATAACATCACACACTAGGAATGTTATAAAGCGCCTATATGGGACAGTTTCTTTTGTATTTTATCTGACTTTATAAACATCAATGTGCTTCTATTTTTTTTTCAGGCTAAATCTACCCAAGACACTGGCTGTCAGACTGATTTAGCAATCTGCAAGAATGCACTTGTCCAGGCTGACGTGGTGTTACAAAGGTGAATTATTTATAATAATCTTCTATGTAAACATTTTATTACCTTCTAGTTTTAATTTGTTTTACAGATTGTTACAAGTGATTTTATGCTCTTTTAAACATTTATAAATGTGCTGCTTCTTTGTTTTTATAGAGCTCACAGCCTCAGTGTCTTGTGACACAGGGACCATGACAGAAATTCATCTTCCAGAAGGTCCCAGAGCATCCACACCCCCTGAAAAGACCAAGATGTGAGGTGTCTGCTGTTGATTCCAACTTCCACCTCAGTGACAGTGCAAGCTCAGTGAACTGTTCAAGGTAAAAAAAATTAAAACATTTCTGAATTTTTAAGATATTAACAATTAAATAAGTATGTGATTACATCATGAAGGAGGCTACTGATTCTGGCCCTGTGACACTTGGTGGTGACGTGTGAGCTGATTCACCTGGTAAATAACTTAAATTAAATATTTTTTTTTTGCTATCAAAAGTAAATTAACTAATAACCTGCATTATTGCAGGACACTCAGCAAAATATGGACTCTACACCATGAGGCAGGCACACGTTAATAACTCTATAAGAGCACATAAGGTAAGCAACACCACATATTATTTTTATTATTGTACACTGTCCTGGATTTGTTTTCTTTCTGCATCTCATCATTAGCCTGGCTGATCACCTGATAACTCCTGTCATCTGGTTGTGACAGCATGAGGATGTCCTCACACACCTGTAACCTACCAGCTCATCTGGCAGAATAGAGAGAGAAGAGACAACACCACATCTCCTGTTCCTGGAAAGCCTTCAGCCATCCTTCGATGACTGAGAACCTCCATCAGCTCTGTCTCCGGTCTGCCTACAATTATTATAATAAATATTGTGTTTGACAAGTTTTTTGTGCTGCCAAATATCTCATTTTGATTCCAGTTTTGATATTTTAATGGATATTTATAAATTACATTAATTGAATTATCACATTGTCGCATGTTTATCTAGCTCTATTGTGATGAATTAAACTAGCACCTCACTGTTAAAAGCTCGTTTTAATTTCAAGCATGTTTAAGTATTTATGGACATGAACAAAAACAGGAAATATATAAATTGAGATTTATTTAATTAATATAACAAATAAGGTGGAAAGAGTCATTGAAAGGCACATTCTTCTGGAAGCTCCTGATCCTGACGACACCAGCAGGAGACCAGCTGCAGACACCAGAGACCTGCTGCAGACACCAGAGGATCACCTGCAACCAAGAGCAGCTAGTATCAGTAAATAAATAATGAAATCAGGGCAGTTTTAGTGGGCTGAACACATTACAGAATAATTTTCTCATGGGATATTTTCATAACTTTATGCAGCAGACTGTAGCTTGAGCCCAGATCTCCTGGAGACCTGCTATCCAGCACGTTTCAGTGGATTTTCCTGCTTTAACAGGTTAGATAAGCTGTTAAGCAGCTCAGCTGTTTGTTGCTGATTAAAACCAGGTGTGTTGATGCAGATAAATCTCTAAAACATGCTGAATACTAGCTCTCGGGCCATGGAGACAAACCCTGCTGCTAATCTGATGCTATGGCTAACAGCTACTTACATTCAGAGATGGTTCTGTTGGATCGGTTCCGGTAATTTCAGGCAACTCACAAGCTCAAAACAATAAGGCTCATGTCCGCTTGTCTCCTCCAATTGGACTTGGTCCCTTTCTTCTCGAGTGTCTGGGTAAGGAGGGGGAGAAACGTCCTCCATTTCTAATGACTGCTCAGAGTGAAGGGAGCTAGCTTCGTCTAGTTAGCCGTCGTCTTCGTCACTGCCGCGGCTCCGCCCTCTCGGTCCTCCAGGCAACGCCTACCAATGTTGCAGTTTTTAAAATTGATACGTGGGTGGGGTAAGACTCTGAGGCACACTTGACATGCACTTTAAAGGCTTTTCTCATTAACAGGAGTACAGCTGCAGGACTCCAACAGCCAGGGGAAAAGGCGGGAAAACAGTGCTGCTCTCTGATTGGTTGAGAGTGTTCAACCATTTTCTGTCCAAGCAGGATACAGCACCCACACATATGATACATCAGATCGACCAGCTTGGTCTCAGGAATCTTGTATTAAATTTTATATGCGTTATCTGTTACCAAGGTAACACAAGTGCATAAGTATATCCCCAAACAAGTCTTATTGAAATGAATGTGAAAAGCCTAATATTGAGCCTGTAACATACTGCTGTTTCTTATCTTTCTGAGCTCTATACACTTAAAACTAGCAGCATAGCTGATATTTTAACACCAGTCAGAAGGCAGGAACCGCCCCCTCCTCCTTTGCTGCTCTCTCATTGGCTGAGTTTTCAATCGTCCTCTGCCTAAAGGGAAATATGCACCCACACTTATGATACATCAATTCAACCTGATTGGTCCCAGGAGTCTTGTATTAACTTGATATTGTGTTCTGCGTTACCATGGCAACATGCTTAGCAACAACATTTAACAACATTTTAGACACAACTGTATCAACATACTTTAATATAGAAATGTTATTCAAGGTTTAAAAGAGTCGTGTGACATTGTGCATTGCTTTATTAAAGCAGACTCCTGTCATCTGTTACCATGGCAACACCAGAACTACAAATAACTTTAAGTCTCATAGGAATGAATATAAAAAGCTGAATATTGAGCCAATAGCAGACTCCTGTTTTGATCTTTTTGAACTGTTTGTACTTAAAACTAGAAACACGTTCAATTTGATTGACCGTCAGAAGGTGGGAAAGTGCCCCGCTCCCTCCCAGATTGGTTGAGAGAGGTCAATCATCTTCTGGCTAAATGGACTTACACACCCACACATGTGAGGCATCAAATCGATCGGCTTGGCCTAAGGAATCCATACATCCACATATAAATCCATCCATTCTTCTATCCATCCATCCAATAAACCATCTAACATCCATCCAACAGTCCATTTATCATTTCATTCATCCATCCCATATCAAGTCTGAATATATGTTAATCTATCAGCAAATATATAAATTCACAGTTCAGCCAATTGTAAAAATGTACCCATTAAACTATTCTCATTCAAATGCCAGCTGTTTAACATTTCAACTTTTGAGCTTTTAATCAATTTTCAAAGATGAAAGTTTTCTGCTGTTTAGCATTTTTATCCATTCTTCACCTATATTCTGAGTTTTATTACACTTGTTGGTGATTTTTGCTTCTAAATCTTTAAATACATTCAGCTCATTTTGAGTTTAGCTTAGTTTCAGCTTCACTTCAGCTATTCAGCAGCTTCAGAAATCCGTTTCTGAATTTAGCATATGCTGCTCATTTCACAGTTCAGCTAAATGTAAAGATTAAACTGTTTAACTTGTCCTACTGAAATCACAGGTGTTTAGACATTTTAGCTGTTAAGATTTTTATACAATGTTCAGATTTCAATTTTCTGCTGTTTAGGATAATTTTTCTCTATTATTCACTTACATTTTGTACTTTACTTGGTTGTTGGTGCTTTTTGCTTCTACATCTTCCAATACATTCAGCTCATTTTGACAGTTTTGCTTTGTTTCAGCTTACAGTTTCAGCTATCCAGCATTCAATCAGCATTTCTGCAAGAAATGCAAATGTTTCTAGTTCACATCTGATCTGGGGTCACCTGTGTGTCTGTCCTCCAGGATGCAGAGTTTAACTCTCAGAAAGTCCTTCAGGAGACTCTACAGAAGTCAGCGAGGACCAAGAGCCTGATCAACACCAGAGCTACTGAAGGTAACACCACTGTTCCATGGCTCAGTGGTGCCCTCTGGTGTTTAGAGAAGGGAGTGGAAGTGGGTCGGTACTAGCCTGACCAGCCAGCCCCACGCTTCCTTATGGGTTAGGGTTAGTGCTAGGTCGGTACCAGAAGCCTTGGTTTGTTGTTCGTTGGTGTAACGCTTTCAAATAGCTTCCCTGCTTTTTTTAAATAACATAAATGTGGTTCCATAAGTTTATTCTGATCTGTGTGTGTGTGTGTGTAGTGGTGAATGTCTCCCGCTCTCAGCTGCTGTTCACGTCGCTGGTCAGTGTTGATGTTCAGGAGGATCAGCTCATCAGTCAGGTGCTGCAGGACCGTCTCCTCCTGGCCCCCCCACCCTGCTGTAAAGACACCAAGACAACTGAGGGACCCTCACTCCTCTTTATGACCTCTGACCTGATCCATCAGAAGCCCCTCCCACTTAACGAGGAGCCGGTGTGCAAACGTTTGCCAGTGCCCTGCCCTGCCTACTCCACCTTTGACCTGTACAGCAGACAGAAATGCTGGGAGGCTACACTGTAAAACACACAGCTGTGTAAAGACGAGTTTTATATTTGTTAATAAAACCTTTTGATAGTTTTTGCAGATAAGCTTGGTCTGTTTTGAGGTGACGACCTCTGGGTTGAAACCGGCCTCCTGTCCACTAGAGCTGAATCTGTTTAGTTTCTCCAGAACCACAGAGGGGTTGGATCCTGTTAGGCAGGACAGGAACATCCACACGGGACAGAAAAGATGGAGAAAAGTTTTATTTTAAAAATAGGAGCAGCCAAAAACAGTACAAAATAAAAAACAAAGTGATGAGTCAGAACTATTTCTGCTGAATGCAACTGATGGCGTCTGCAGACACGCTGCGTAGGGACCCCCAGGTTGGGTTAGATTAGGACATCACTTCCTGCAGGTCTCCGGTTCCACGTCCTAGATCCACACTATGCAGATTCTGAGTGAGCTAGAACGCGTGTCTCAGTTCTCATGACTTCCTTTTCCCTGCAGGTTCTACCTGGAACCGTTCTTGTATGTCCATGTCGACCTGCAGCTGCTGGCTTGTGGACGGCTTTTCTGCTGCAGGAGGACACTGGGCTTTAGCAGACCAGTAGCTGAACTAAGTAGACCGTTGATAACACCAAGACTCTGCTCTGACACTTGGACCACAAAGCCCGGCGAGAGGCACCGGGCTTGTCTGAGATACCGCACAAGGAATCAACTCAAAACTGGAAATGTTTTAAATACTGTTAAAGTTAGAGAAGGAAATGGTGAAAAACATGTCTTTAAAATGTTGCTTCAGGGGAGCGGTTAACTAATGTACACACTCCCAGTTAAATCATACAAGCTGTCCGCTACTGAACACTAACACAAGAAGGGGCGGGGCTTCTAGCGCATCCGGTACTCCAACGTCTTTGACATCTCGCACAGCTGACCCCTGAAGTCCACGTCAACGGCAAAGTCCAGGTCTCTCTGCAGATCAAAGGGACACATGAGACAAAACGCAACCACTGGGAAGGGAGACGGGAAACATCACGGTCTGCTCACGTTGTTCTTGGCGTTTGGCTTCATGCTGATGGTGCCAAAGATCTCCTCTCCAGTCTTCACCGTCAGGTAATCATCCAGGTAGAAAACAGTCTGCTTCCAGTGGGTGTAGGGAGACTCTGGGCCTGAGAGGGAAAGACAGCACAGGAAGTTAGCATATGCCATCACCTTCATGGTACCCTAAAGATCAGGGAGGACATAGGAAATACACAAGACCGTGTGAAACGCTCCCTTAGCTTGGTTCCGATACCACTTCCTCCGAGGTAAAAACAACTCGGGACAAATGCTCCCGTTAGACACAGGTGGAGTCATCTGAAACACACCTGGAAATATAACCTCAGGTGTGTTTAGTTTTTAATCAGAGCAACGTTCCGTCACACGTGAAGGAGATGACAATGCCTGCTCCGTCACCACCTCACAGCCACCATCAGGTTTGGGTCTGGACCAGACCAGGGTTCACCCCGCTGGAGCTGGACTCATCTATACAGGATCATCAGGGTCCTGCTGCAGGTCAGCACCGGATTCTCAGCATTATCGAGCTGCTTCACCTCTTACCCGAGCATGTTACCATGGTAACTGTTGGGGGGTAAAATCGTCTTCGTAGCTCAGTGCGACTAATTTTCTGTTTATTTAATGTGAAGCTGCTCTACTGTGTGTGCAGCTATGAGTCACGCTCAGACAGACCAGTGTTGTGTTTGACTGTTGATGCTCCCGTTTTTATTTCTGCAGCGAGCCTGAAAAACTCACCTCACACCGTCCAGTGTTTCTTCTTCAAACTCGTATTAAATAACGAGCTTCCTGTGCCGTATTTCTGTTGTAGGATGAAAACGTTACATCAACCGTGCCTGGGGGAAAGTGCGGCAGAGGTGTTTGTTTACGTTTGCCGCTGCGTGTGTGAGAGAAGGGGGGAGGGGCGTCTCTACGGGCTCCACGGCAGCAGCGACAGCCAGCTGGTTTTATCCGCTCTGAAAGGCGTTGATCAGAATTTGCAGATCACTGTTTTTAAACAGAGATCGGGCGCGTGCAGCCATCATGCGTCACCCAATACAGCGTCGGTACGGAAACTCATAGGAACTTTTATCCGCTGAACTTGAATCACGCAAATAAAATGTATTATTTAACGGAAAAAATAAACCGAAACGGTTCAACACTCCCCCGTGAACCGTTACACCTCCTAGTAGCTGTGGTACCCAACAGATGAGCTCTTCTCAAACAAGAAAAGACAGACAGGTGTGGAGAGACTGAGGAGAGCACTGACTGGTGGAGAAGCCGATCTTCTTGTGACAGCGGGTGAATTCGATGTTGAAGTAGGTGACCAGAGCGTGGATGTAGTCGTTCCTCTTCACCTGCAGGCAGAAGGGTGAGGTGAAGGTCAGGTCCTCCACCTTCACCGTGTAGATGTCCACCTCCTAAAACACACACACACAAGCACTTCCTCTCAGCTGACCTGTTACACTACAGTCCAAAGTCAGAGACATCTCTGTCCACCCACCCTGATGAGACAGGAGTTGGTGACCAGCTGCTTTGGATCCACCACATCAACCAGCGGCTCTTTTATGGCCACCTCCTTGATGCACGACATGTCGAAGCCATAAACGTTCTCCCACCCTGAGACAGAGGGAGAGTTCAGCGTGGGTTTACACACACACACACACACACACACACACACACACACACACACACACACACACACACACACACACACACACACACACACACACACACACACACGAAAATGTGGTGGTTCTTCTATGTCAGTAATCCAACCTTAAAGGTGAAACCAAGCTACGAGCCAGTCAGACTGACTCCATGCAAGCCCAGATGATTCAGCCTTTACCCGTAATAGTTGTGTTGATTGTGGCTCACAGCTGATGAAAAGCCCACATTCACAAACTCGGGACTGTTACATGAAATCAAAACGAGGATTTTACATGCACGTGTACTCAGTACTTGGTTTGAACCCGTGTAATACATGGACGTTTGCACCCTATTGTAATGGTTTAGATGGAGGTAATGGAGAACAGCCTGCAGACAGGTGGTGCTCTACCTGCACCGGTCCAGCCAACATTTCCCTTTAATTAGATGCTCTAAGCAGCTTCTTTGTTGCTGATCACTAATCACACGGGCTGGCCATAACTTTTCTGTTTTTGTTCTGGGAGAAACTTGGTTTTAAACTGAGGGGGTTACACTGCACCACCCGCCTCCACACATCCAGACTACTACCAAGATAAAGCAGTACATATAAGGATCTATAAACGGGGTAACTGTAGGTTTAAGGGAGCCAATTTTAAGACTTAAGACCTTTTTTAAGGCCACTTTGACCAAATTTAAGCTATTTTTTTTATTTAATCTAAGCTATAATTTCCAGCTATTGCCTGGAACCGGTGCTAACCACGTCGCGAACGTGGGATTAGCCATCCAGTTACCATTAAACTTGCACTTCCCCATGGCGCAAGCTCCCACTAGCTTAACAAGCTAATGTGCTCATCTAAAAATAGCCCCCTTTCACAACCAACTGAATGTGTACGGTTCCGCTTACGCCAATGTCATACACAAAAAATGCTGAACACCAACTAGAAATTCACGAAAACTTTACAGAAATAAAATAATCTAGTTTAATGGGTCTTTGGTAATTTAAGACCTTTGGAAACTTTATTTAAGGATTATTTGTCATTAAGGATTTTCAAGGCCTTAAATTTGGAAAAGTAAATTTAAGACTTTTTAAGGACCCGCAGATACTCTGTATAAAAGTATTTGTAAAAACTAGTAAAATCAGGGATGTGGTTTTTAAGTGAAAACAAAAACCTGAAAAGGGCCGGGGGTGTGGGGGTCGCCTTAGGCGAGGGTGAAGGGGCAAAGCCCCCGGTAGCTGGAGCCTTTTCACCCATCTTAAGTGTTTCTTGGCTCTCTGGGGCGTTTTACTCACTGTACACATTCACGCATGCACAGTGCTGACTTCCTGTCGGTTTCTCTATGGGCACCGCCATTTTAAACGTCATCACGCATGCGCCTAATGACCAGTGCCTGACCCTTCTGTTTTCTTGCAAACAGTCAGGGAACATGCAGGCAGTCTCGTTTTGAATTGGTTGTGGGCGGGGCCGGAAATCCCATTTCATTTAGGAGGGGAAAGTAAACGGTTTCATTTCAGAGTAATCTCTGAGTGGGACATGAAAAAAATGGCTGTCTCCTGCAACTAGCAGGGTGGGCCTCCATCATTAGCAAGTTCACTGAGAGACCAACCAATCAGAGGTGAGATGTCAGAGTATCAGGAATTAATTGAGAAAGACTATTTGGAAAACATCCCTATCAACTAATTTGCCAGAGATCGCCCCATAATGACTGGGTGATCTGAGCGTCCTTTGCTTTAATGGCATAACTCAAAATAAGGTCAGCAGTCCCCAGGTACTCACAGTGGATCTTGTAATCCTTGTACTGTCGGTCTTCTATGGCAGTGACATACAGAGTAGCTCTGTCTGGGAAAATGAGTCCATCTGGTTTCTGTTGGAGGGACAGGAGTAAAGAGGCATTAAAACCGGGAGGGACACTCTAGTTTTTGGTTTCAGTTTAGTGACCCTACAGTGCCCAGATACCTGGAGTCACCAAGGCAACCACAGCTAAACAAACTGCAGCACTTTAAGCCGATTAGCTGATCCTTAATGAGAAGCTGTCCGAATCAATCTGAACACACAACTCCACTGGTTCCACTTCGATCAACAAACACCAGGTCTTAAAACAGCTGATTTACAGCCCGCCAGTGATTGGTTCAACGTGGAGGCATTAAAACCCCCAGCATCAAGCCACCACTGTCTATTCACTCGGACCCATCAATGTTTAAGATCGAACGTTTACATTCCAGATCTAACCAGAGTTGGACTGAACAAGAGGCGGAGAATGTTTCTGGGACAAATGAGAGAAATTATCTGAGGATCAAGAAAGTCCTCTCGACCAAAATCTGTTTTCAGATCAGTTGATTTGTTAAAAAGTGAAGGTGTGAACTCAAGGTATGTAAAAGAAAACCCGCCAAGAGTAGGTGGAGTGTCTAATCTCAGGGTTAGACTCTGGGATTGAGTTTAACACGTTGGCTCTAACAAACACGCACCAGCCATTTGTCCCTGGCATAGATGACTGTATTGAGCATGGACTCATAGAACAGACAGTAGCCCATCCACTCGGAGATGATGATGTCCACGCCGTCCACTGGAAGCTCCACCTCCTCCACCTTCCCTTTGATGATGGTCACAACTGGAGAGAAAAGAAGACCTACTTCAATCATCCACCTTCCCGTAAGCCAGAAGAGCAGCACCACATGTGAACCATCTCCTCACCATCATCCAGGTTGTTGGCCTTCACTATCTTCACAGCATAGTCGGAGATGCTGCTGCACTCGATCTATTCAAGCAAAGACAGGTGAGCTGCTCATGCTCCCAGTGACAGATACACATGCTGCCAGACAACACCTACCCCAATAACCTTTTTGGCCCCCGCTTTGGCAGCAAACATGCACAGGATGCCCGTCCCGCTGCCCACGTCCAGAACCACCTTGTCCTTAAAAAGGTGTTTGTTGTGGAACATGGAGTTGCGATAGGTCAAAGTGCGAACTTCATCTTTCAGCATCTCCTACAGCAACGCGAAAGGAAAGGTGCAACAACAGAGAGAAACTGAGATCAACACATGATGAGGTCTCAACTATTACATCAAATAGGCTTAATGGTTTTAAATTCAGAAAATGTTTTAGGTACCAAACTAAACATACCTCGTGGATTCCAAAGTGGGCGTAAGAGTCGAAGTAGTAGTCCTTTGATGTCATGTCTTCAGCTGCAGGCTTGACTGAGCTCTCCCCCTGAGAAACCTCAACAGAGACAAACAATTACTGGATGAAGAAATCTCAGTTTAGAGACAAACTCATTAATAACAAGTACAAACCAAGGAAAAGCTCCGACATAATATGGAGACAAACTTGAGGAATTTGGGCGTTGTTGACCAATCAATGTCTCTTGAAGGCCACTCAAAAACATTGGTCCGGAACCGTTTTCATCACTTAATATCTTTAAACTGCGAAGGTTGGTGTCGAAACACGAACTAGAAATGGTTCTCCATGCCTTTATCTCCTCCCGTCTAGATTACTGTAACACACTCTTCACATGTTTTAACAAAAAGCCCTTGACCGCCTTCAGCTGGTCCAGAACTCTGCAGCGAGGCTCCTAACTGGAGCAAACAGAAGAGCTCACATCACTCCTATTCTGATGTCTCTGCACTGGTTACCTGTTACCTTTAGAGTCATTTTAGAATCCTGACTAGAACTTTCAGGGCTCTACATGGTCAAGCTCCTCCCTATATTACTGAACTGTTAAAGCCTTATGCTCCAACCCGAGCCCTCAGGTCCACCCACCAGAACCTTCTAGAAGTTCCAAAGGCCAGATACAAAAGTCTAGGTGATGCTCCTTCCAGTCTGTTGCACCCCGGCTCTGGAATGATCTTCCTTTATCCTTATGTAGGATTGACAGTCTGGACACTTGTAGTAATCTTTCATTGGTTTTACTTTATTTTTTCTGACGTTAATTTATTTCTGTTTTGAGATCATTATATTTTATTTTGATCTGTGTGAAGATTGTGATTCTGCCTGTGATAAGTGTTATATAAATCAAATTTACTTACAACTAGGGTTGTCAGGGTAACCGGTGTAGCGGTAAACCCCGTAAAAAAGTTGACAATAATAATAACCGTCTTGTTTTTAAAAACTATATTATCTTGGTGGGTTTACCATGGCTGCGGTGTAGGCGCGGTGACCCTTACCAGCCACCGTATCATCTGCTGAAGTTGCCGGCGGCACATGCACGCTTAGTTGTTTACAACCAAAACTTTCTTGAAGCTAAAGCTGAAATAACGGCCAAAGGAGGAGACGGCAGCACTCAGGACATTTATTATCCCTCAAAGAAGACAAAGTGGGAAGTACGGGCATTTTTTGGATATTTGAAGAATGCAGAGGGACAGTTTATAGAAGACGGCTATTCTGTTTGCAGCTCGTGCAGGAAAAGTGTCTGTGAAAGGCAGCAACGCTTCAAATCTCATGACACATCGGCGTGACCATCACCCACAACTCTACAGTCAACACAAGGCAAGCTAATGTTAGCATTTTAGCTAAAATGCGTGATCCAAGGATTTGGGTTGAGGGAGAATGCAACGAGTCGCTATATAAAGCAGCTGCAGCGCCGCTACCTGCATATAAACCGTGTCGCAGACTAGGGCTGCTCAATTAATCGAATTTTAATCACGATTACGATCTGAGTTTTGAACGATTATAAAAAAACAAAACAAGCCGATTATTTGCTCCTCCCGCCTGCGCTGCCCCGAGTTGCAAATGAAGCGCTCCTCACAGTGTTGCCAACTTAGCGACTTTGACGCTATTTCTAGCAGCTTTTCAGACCCCCTTCTTGACTTTTTAACTTAAAAGTACCTAGCGAACACCTGAGAAACATCTCTGGTAACCCTTAGCTACTTTCTGGATAACTGTCGTCGACATTTCCTGCAGGTTAGCTTAACACTCCGCCTGCGCCCCGGACCGTTCTTCAGGACATTAGGAAAGGGAATGATGTAGTGATGTGTCAGTCGCTAAAGAAACAGCTCTCAGAGCCGGCTCCTTGTTGGAGTAACCAGAGTGAGTGACACACACACCGCACCTGCGGACTCCTGAGCCACTAAAAACGGCTAAATGTGCGTGTGCGGCGCGCTAAACACACGTGCAGTTTGCCCCGATTGCTGTGAGACCGGGTTGGGGGGTGCAGCTGTGGTTGGGACAATTATTACATTAACTGATGGACTTGTAAATAAATAGTTTATAAATAATGTAGAAATAAGTTCCTCACGCTGATAATTAATAACTAATCTCTGAGGACACGGTGCTAGTGCACTCTCCTACAGCACCTTGACACAACTAAATAAATGTTATGCAACATTTTGTGAACATAAATTTATTTGCATGTATTTGTTGCCACTGTATAATTCTTGCTGTCAGTATTTGCAAGATATTGGTATTTGGGTCTGTACTGGTTAGACTTAAATGAGTTAAACCAAGGTCTATAGCCCTTGGGTCATAAACTATGAGCTATAAAAATATATTGGTCTTTTTATACTGGGAATCAGGAGTTCTTTTAGTGATCATCTTGTTTCTTATTTTTGTCCTGATTGTGCCCTGAGCAATTTTATGACTGAATAAAAACAAATAAAATCAACATAAATTGAAAAATCGTCCTAAATAATCGTGATCTCAATTTCAGTCACCATAATCGGGATTATTATTTTCGCCATAATCGAGCAGCCCTATCGCAGACACCCCATGTTGAAATGACGCTATGCATTACGGGGCTCCCAGGGGCAGATAAGAGTTGGTCTCTCTCCGAGAATAATTATGAATTTAACAATGATTACTGCCTGATGACATTTTCCCACATCTGCAAAGCTCACTGGAAGGACACAAACCGAGGACAATATTTACCTGATATAGGGTTTGTTACTCAAGTAAGGGTAAAGTATCTGATTAGAAGGCTACTTGAGTACTGAGTATCATCGGATCTAATATTTTTAAATGATGACATCAAACAGACAAAAAATAAGTAGCAAATATCTGTATTTTAAAGACTAATGGGAAACAATGTAAACAAATAAACATTACAAAATAACACATTTTAGGCAAAATTTAGACAAACTGTGGAGAATATTTCCTGACATACAGGGTTTATTTAATTGTGTGAAAATGTAGCACGTTAAAAAAATACCGCGATAATACCGAAAACCGTGGTAATTTTGGTCACAATAACCGTGAGCTTAAATTTTCACACCGTGACAACCCTACCTCAGACCCACCGGTCTGCCTGTTTTTACCGCTGCTGCTACGCTGTCTCTGAGGACAAAGATGACGTAATAAATACATTCCGTCCTAGTGAGGATTCAGGAACCGGTCCCCTCAGCTCCTGTGATCAGGAACCAGCAGCAGCATCTACTACCACGTCTAAACTAAACCGTCTCTTATGCTTGTCCACTCTGACTGAGGTTAAACGTAACCAGCGTTGTGTTAAAGCAATTTGACCACGTTAAAAAAACCGAGAATGTTCACCTCACTGACTTTAAACATGTACAATAATCGCGAGGAGTAAACTGGGCAGAGGGCTGTTAGATGGGAGATGAGTGTCAACGTGCACCCGGCTCCCGACACCTCCAGACCGAACAGATTAGCTTAGCGGCTAAGTCTCCCTCCCATGAACGCTCCAGAAGTTAAAACACTTTAAATTTTAAGTTTGTTTGACTCTGAGCCCAGCGGTTTTCTAACCCGAGTAAAACATGTAGCTTCGGAGGCTAACCAGCACAAGAGGTAACATGTTGGACTGACTCACTGTACAAAGCCGATAACTAGTTAGCATCAGAGGCTAACTAGCTTCAGAGCTAACACGTTGGACCCATTGTGCAAAGCCGAGAACCAGTTATCAGAGACTACCTAGCTTCAGAGCTAACACGTTGGACCCATGCGGTCACAGAGGACACACCGGCTAACTTCAGCCATTACCGCTCACTCACGATGTAACGAAATTTTTAAATCACGACCTACACGCGTTACTGACTGAGTGTCAGAGTTTTGTCGTATTTTTTCTGATTTGTTCTAACTGCGACACTAATGAATGAGCGGCATCAGCAGACACATGAAACCACGTTTAAAAATCGGTTTTTCTGTGTGTGGTAAAGAAACACACGTCCGACATCGGTGGAAGCCAACACTAAAAATTCGTGTGTGTGAAGTTACTATATTTCTCCCAGTAAGTCCTTACCTCCATCCTTTCTGCTGGCGCCGCCATTTCCATCTTCTGCCTTGTGTCGTGTCTTCTTCTTCGTCAGGTTCTTCTACTTTGGTGGAGGGCTGCTTCTTCTTCTTCTGGACTTACATACGTCATTTACAGCGTTTCCGCCATATTGGATGGGCCTCCTTTGTGCTGCCTATGGCTACAACAACCGGCGTACTATTGAAAGCAGATCACGTGGGATTACCAGAGACTTTTCTAGCCTACCTGATGGGATTTTATATTAAATTTAATTAATATTTAGTTTGTTTAATTATATTTATATTTTATTATTATGCCATACATTGTGCCTGATTTTGTGAAAAAGCTCGATTAAATTTGTTTTTTAGTTGGGTTAGCCCCTTCCTCAGTAGAAATTAATGCACCGGGGGCGAATGGAGACCCATCCAAAATGGCGGATGGCCACTACAGCAGATCCAGTCCACGGGGCGTTGCCGTAAATATGTCTGCGCATACCTAACGTGAAAAGGTGTTTACTGCCACCTACTGTTAGTAGTAATCGGACGTTTTATTTATTGAAGACTCCTCGACTTTTATAAGCTTGGAAGGCTTTTACTGAGCATCAATGCTTTTTTACAGCAGCACCTGAGAACCACAGCGCCCCCAACTGGAGATGACGGGTATCTTTATTTTAAAGTATCTTTTTTATATCAACTAAACAGAGGATTATTGACAATTGGAATAACAGCACCCAAACATCGGAAAAGTTGGAGTGCATTATGAACAAATGACCTTGACTCCATCACTAAGAGAACAAATTAAAATTTGTATGCATCAGTTTCTCTGAGGACCTCTCCTGAGGCCCCAAAGGCTAAACAGCATTTGTATTTGCTGAGAAGGCTGAGGAAGTTTAGGATGCCAAGTCCTGCCCTCACCAGTCCGTACTCCATCAAGAGAGGAAATGGAACAGCTTCACACGAGACGAGCTATGTGTGGAAACAGCTCAGCAAACGAATACCAGGCAGGCTCCATGGTGGATGCAGCAAAAAAGAAAAAAATAATCCACTGGCTCAGCACTCTACACTGGAAATGCTGCCTACTTCTACAACACCTGTCCTTAGGAGGAAAAACAACATCATCAGGGGACTGAACCCCCACAACACAAACTGTGCAGCTTTTATCTACAAAAGCACAATAACCAGAAGCACCAGACTAAAAGAGAGTTTTATTCTTCTGACTTATCGGCCCCATCCTGCAACACCAGTTCACCCACTGCTAAAATAAATGCACAAAAATCTTTGACCTAATCATTCACTCTGAAAAATATTGCACAGGTAGATGTGTTGCACAATACGTTTAGGTTTGTTGTTTTTGTGTACTGTTTGTACAAATACATGTTTACATGTTGCCCTGTGGGGTATGTTACTTCTTAAATGTTTGCATTTGTGCACCTGTGTTTGGCCTACCTCAGGTATCCTAATTATTACTGTCCTGGTACTAGAAGGGTCTACCAGAGCAGATAGATGCAGACTGTGCAACAACGCTGCCTCACTCAGAGAGACTCCAGTTATCAATCGTGGGAAAGTCTGCATGGTGGCACAGTTGCTAGCACTATTGCCTTGCAAGAAAATGGCTGTGCGCTCAAATAACAGCTATGGCCTTTGAGGGTTAGGGTTTGGCCTGTGAGGAATTAGCATGTTCTCTAGGTGCATACATGGGTTTCTCTGTGTCCTCTGTCTTCATCTCACAGACCAAAAGAATTAAAGTTGATTGGAGTTCCCTAACCCCCTAAGCATGAATGAATGTGTGTTTCAGACTTGTCCCTGTCCCTATGATGGACTGAAAACTTGCAGCCCAGTGACAGCTGGAGACAGGCACCATCTCCCTGTGATCCTACACAGAATTAAGCAGATTGTTGAATAGATAAACAAAATATATACTAAAAATGTACGTGGAGGCAGCAGAGCATCCCCTGTACTAAGGAGCAGTTCCTTTGTTTCAGGTTCCAGTCGGATGTTGAGTATAGTGATGTTCCTTAGATCAAACTAACAGATTGTGTTTCTCGTAAGATCTGTTTACACCTGCATATGTCTTTGTTGACCCGAGGAAGACCTGGACATTGTTTGTACAAGTACAAGTAACAATCTGAAGCAGAACAACAAAAAACATTTAACACATTGCATTTGGGAAGCTAAACTTGACAAACCAGCATTTTCTTTTTTATCGTTATTTTTATCCCAAAAACTTTATTTAGCTACACAAATACATGAATAGATCCACAAACGTCGATCGTTTTTTGAGTATTTTGTAATTAGACATGTAGTTCTTCGTCTTTAGGGAAATGAGGAAGGTTTTTTTTTATTAGAGAAGATAACATACAAACAAAATGCACCTTACATTATATATTCAAAAGATAATCATTACATGCATATTAAGCATTTTCACGTATATGAAAAAAAAAAGAAAATCTAAAGATGGGGTCACTTAATTAACAGATTGGAAATGAGGAAGGTATATCTTATCTGACCACTTCCGTCTGCACAAAGCGTGCGCGCTCACGGATGCGTCGCGCGGTCACACTGTTTTGCTGTCACGAGCCTTTTCCGAGCCGTGAGCGAGACAATACACCGAACATCACCCAGTTTAAACCGAGTTAAGTGAGCGGTTAACGGACAGTGTAGCATACCGAGATCGTTAGCTGTCACGTCGGACTCCGCTTACTATTTCCGGTCAACTGGCGAGAAACTCCAGCATCTGAATGGTGTTAGCAGCTAGTCAGCTAGCTGCTAGGCGGTGCGTGACTCGAAGTAACTTCACTTTAAATTACTAAAGGTACTTTTGAGTCAACATTTTGGCTACACTCTTCTTCCAGGCTGCCACGTAGGGACGTTTTTAACGCCAGCTGCGTCCTGCTGCCGGTGTTGCGCGTCGCTTCCAGTCGAGCTAGGTTAGGATTGAATGAAATAACGCTAGCTTGCCGTCTACAGCGGAAACGAGCCAGTTAACAGGATAAGTTCTCCTGCTGCTGCTTTTTCACCACCATTCACCGTGTCCGGCCGATGCTATCGGCTACTCGGCCTCAGCCACAACGCGTATTCAGCGGGACACCAGTCAGTCAAGCAGGAGCCAGTTACAAACGGCTGGACTAGCCAAACAGCTAGTTACCCGTAACGGTCAAATTGTCCATCTTCTATCGATTCCCGTGAAGCGACTGCGTCAGGTTGTTGAAGGCCGGAGGGAGGACAAAAACCTGCGAAGATGCCGGCTGTGTCGAAGGGAGATGGCATGCGCGGATTAGCCGTTTTCATCTCAGACATCAGAAACTGTGAGTGCTTTATTTCTTCTTCATCCTGAGTTATTCCAGTTAAAAAACATGATGTTGCCTTTGCTCCCGCCGTCACTCACCCGGTCTAAGGGTAAATGACCTGGTGATAGTGGCTGATACTGGTCTGAAGAAGCAGGGTGTAGCACCTATAAGGTGTTATTAATCTGACCTCACATCTCGGGTAACAGGTTGTTTTAAAATCCATGTATTTATTTTTGAAGTGACGTAGATAGCCATCTTAGTACAGCCATAACTAGGACTGTTGGCCGAAAACCAACTTAACTAGTGAAATTTAGTACTAAGGTGAGAAATAAAACGATCTACAACTTGTGGCATCATATTCAATCAATCAATCAATCAATCAATACTTTATTAATCCCAGAGGGAAATTAGACTTGAGGCAGTAATTGCTGCCAAAAGTGCATAAACAAAGTACTGAGTAAAGGCTGTGAATACTTATGTACATGTGATTTCTCAAGTTTTTTATTTTTAATTTATTTGCAACAACTTCAAAGACACTTTTTTACATTATCATTATGGGGTGTTGTGCTTTGAATTTTATGGGCAAAATGAATTTAATCTAGTTTGACATGAGGCTATAACATAAACAAAAAAGTGGAATAAGTAAAGTGCTATGAATACTTTCCAGATGCACTGTATTAAGCACCTCTCAAGATAAAATCACAAGGTGAGTTGGTGCTTATAGTACAACAGAAAAATAATCAACTCAGGCATTTCTGTTTTAAATACTTTCTACAAAGTTGCTAAGAATCTCCAAGTTTTCTTTCATCAGTCCCTAACTTGGATACAGATTAGATGGTGTTTATGG